TTGTTTTCCCCGTGATAAAAAAGCGCGCGTAAATTGATCGAAAAATGTATAGTTGCTTCATCGATGCGTAATCATCGTGTAAATTCGCAAAACGGCCGTCGATTTTATTCGTTATTTGCACGACGACGGGTTTCTCTCGCTTTCCACTACCGTGCTGCATTTTTACGACCGCGTACGTAGCACTTTGATGAAACAGACGCTGTGTTACAAGACTGGATTTTTTCACCTTTGTCGTTATTATTGTTATTATATATATATTTTTTTTTATTTAAAAAAAAACAAGAACGTTATAAAATATCCAAGGTGTCTAGCGGTCAAGGAAATCTGGACGGACATTGTCAGGGAATTTTATACATCTAGAATTGTCAGGGAAAAGTAAGGAAATTTGACTATTTTTCTGGATTTTTTCACATTATTCTACATTTGTCTCATTAATTTGAAATTTTTTATTAAATAAATATAACTTTTAAATATAAATATAAATTTATAAATATAACTTTTCCTTGACTCCCAGCACGCTAATTTTCTGTGTTAAAAATCGATTCATCTGCAGCGTGTTTGTTAATTTATATTTTCATCGTCGTGTTATTTTATTTCAATGCGTTTGATAGAGATAAAACTAAAAAATTTGATGTAATAGATATAAATAAAAAAGGTGATTATTTAAATAGTTTATAGTGACATGTTTGTTTCGATTATCATACATAATACAGTATAATTGATTTAAATTTGTTTTTTTTAATTTCCGAATCTTTTTATTGTTAACAAAAATCTTTCAAGGATTTTATGATTTAACATTTAATTGATTTATCATATAGATATATGCAAATTATATATTTGAAAAAAATAATACTAAAAAATCAGATAATTTTTTTCATTGAGTCTACTGGATACCCTGATATCTTATAATTTAGGGGGAAATAATAATAATAATAATTAACACATTTTTCGATAGAAATTTTTTTGTTAAAAACAAACATTACGAGTTGCACACTCCTAAGTATCCTTACTCAGAAAATTTTATTTTCTGTACATGGGGAGAATTCTCTTAAAGTTTACCCTAAAAATCATGGTAATCTTGGGACAATATTGAAAGAATTTTATAAGAATTTATCAGATTAATATTTATCACAATAAAAAATATTAATATGTACATAGTAAAATTAATCGAACATTTTATATCTTATTGTGATAGATATTAATATTTTTCATTGTAATATTAATCAGAGAAATTCTTATAAAATTCTCCCAATACCATATTATCCCATAAATATCATGATTTTTTAGGGTAAATTCTAAGAGAAAATTCTCTCTTTGCAGGAATCTTTTTTATCGAAATAAAAAAATTATTATCACGATACAAATTGTAATATTTTATTAACAATATTTGATAATTAAGTATATATATTGATGTGCATAAAAGGAATATTTTAATTATGCGAATCAAGATATAAAAAATAGCGCCCTTTTAATTCTACAAATGCATCACCGGACGATAAATTGAATATCAATATTCAAGGAAATTGAACTATTACGTATTTATATATCAGAAGGAATGTTTAAGACTTCAGATATCTATTATTGTGCACATACGTCATACGTCATACGTCATTTGAAGAAGCGTACCCCTAATTGTCTGGGTGCATCGTAAGCAATCTTGTGCTTAAAAGACATTCGAGATGACTCACGTGCGGATGACGTACCAATGGGGAAAGTGTTGTATTATCTATTAAAAGAAATTACGGGTTCAAAAGGACAAATCGAGCGACCGGAAACTTCGTAGAAGCGCGAAAGGGAAGGAGATGTTAAGATATATTCAAAGTGTATATTTGGTATATCATCCGCATATGAGATGATTCACATGCGGATGACACGTAGTATCAATGGGGGAAAGTGTTGCAATATCTATTTAAAATAAATTACGGGTGCAAAAGGGCAAATCGAGCGGCCGGAAGCTTCGTAGAAACGCAAGAGGAAGGATATTTTAATATGTACATTTAATGTTTTTCTCTCGAAGAGTATATTTTTCCGAGAGGTCTTAATTAAAATTCGTTCGTCGACCAAACACGTAGTTTCATCGAAGAGTTCGAATCGAAAACGTCGGACGTCGGTACGTCTTTTTTTGACAGATCGCATACATTGTTATAATCGGATTAGAAAAAATAAGAGGTGAGAGATTTACTATTCTGTACTTATTTAGGATTTGCCAGGGTTGGGTAAATTAATGATTTTTTGAAACTAAGTTAAGTTAAAGTTAGTTGCTTATAAAATTTAATTAAGTTAAAAGTTGCATGAACAAAAAATTAACTTATTGTTAGTTAAAGTTAAGTTAAGATTAAATTAACTGAAGTTAAATAAAAAATTATTTTTTAAAAGTATTATTTGTGTTCAATTAGAATTTTGTTTGTTAATTATATTCTTTTAAAATATATAATAAAATATAAATAACAAAGAAATTTTTATTTTTATATAAAAATATATTTTTTGGTAATTACAATTGATGACAAATAAACATAAAAATTAATAATACTTTAATTTAAAAATAATAAGTTTATAACTTATAAAAGAACAATAATGATATTCAAAAATCAAAAAATTTAACTTAAAAAATTTAATTTAGGAAAAATTTAACAAAAAATTTAACTTAGGAAAAAGTTAATACGTTTAAGGTCAAAAATAACTAGTTGAAATTAAAAATTAATACATTTTAAATTAAATTAGAAAGAAATATTTTTATCGGCTCTCAATATTAAGAATATAAATATGATGTTTTTTAAATCGGCCAACAGAGCCAAAGCACGAAAAATTAATTATTCGGAACTGTATCTCTTGGTTTGAGATCACTAAGTTCCATATATAAATTAATCTCGAAACTTACATATGGAGAAATAGGCGCGAAAAATATAGGTCCGAAAAGTCGCTGAAGCGGGAATCGAACCCGCGTTTTTCACTTTCTTGGCTTCGACTGCTCTTATCAAGCAAGTTAAATATAACTTAATTAAATATTATCAGAAAGTGTTTTTCGAGTTAAATTAATAACGTATGAGAGAGCAAATGCACAAGAAATGCAAATTTTAAGTTGTTTGAAACTTGTTCTTCTTTTATTACACAACGTTTGTTTTTTTAGAGATATATTTTTGTCCGTTTTATCAATATTTTATCTTCATTTTTTAAAGGGATATTTTTATTTGTTTTATCAATATTATATTTTATTTTTATTAAATATAAGTAATGGCAAACGCAAAATCAATTAATTTAATACGAAAAAATTCACATTTTGTTCTCATATTAAATTTAATATATAACTGTAGTGATACTCAATTTTGAATTTTTTATAAATAATAATCAAGCTATATAAGTTATATGAATAAAAAATTTTAATCTTAACGGACTGAAAAGAGCTAGACGTAGATTTTTATTTCAATAAATCTCGCGAAAAAATATGGGGGCAAATTCGCTGAATCGGGAATTCTCGATAAAGAATTCTCGATCGATTCTCGATTATTTTAATTGCTTAGAATCGGATCAATTTGTGCCTTGTGCACAATTATGATCGGTTCCAATGAAAAATTAATTTTTCTTGAATCTAACGCACTAAGTATACAGGTATTCGCGTCTGGCTTTTTCTAACCGGTTGAAATTCAAGTATTTATGTTTTACATTGAGAGAGTCTTATTAAAGTTTTCAAAAATTAAAATCCCATCCTATCAATTTATAAAATATAATTGCAAATAAATGTCTGCTGTAAAAATTAATAACAAAAGAATGAGATCAGTATATATACGCATACATAATAATCATGCATATCTCACAATCAGCTTGCAAACTCTTCATACAATATTCAAAAGTTTATTTAATTATTGATTTAACTCGAAAACTTGCTGATAATATTTTAGTTATCTAAAGATTTCTTAACTTTTTATTGCAGTTCCTGGTATTTTAAACACGAAATAACTACGTTTTAGAATTACGTTTTACGTTACAAAATAAATTACTCTACCTATTGTATTACAATAGAAAACATTGTATATGTAATAACTGTTATTTGCAACCAACAATAAATTAGAAAAGTGATTGTAGTTGGAACAGAATTTCAAAATTCTTCAGATATTTAAACAAATTTAAGTCATAAATTATTTATGTTAACTATCAGGAAAACTGCATGTTTTTTTAACCTGATTATTTGCTTTACAACACTAATTACTCATAAAATAATTAATATATATATCTTGTCCCATTTTAAATTGATTGAATATGCGATGTTCGGGCTTTTTTACGTCACATATTCGACAAAAAAATGTCAGTCTTAAAGTAATATACTTATCTCTGAATATCTTCCTAAACTGATTTTATATTTTATTTTCATTTAAATTTTTATACAAGCAATATAATAGTTCTATGATTTAAATTAGCAGCGATTAAGTAAGATAAGGTCTAAATCTTGTCATAAACAGATTATGTGTTTTATATTTTTGATCACATATTTAATTTTTACAGTAGGCATTTATTTGCAATTATATTTTATAAATTGATATTTTTTATCAATAATTTCTTTCGCGGTAAAAAAATTAGATCCGATAACCGGCTTGAATCAAAGCTGGCAGATTCTGGACATAACACGTAACAACCACTTTACTGTCAGTAGAAAACGTTAATTCATTGTCGCCCATTCACGGGAATAGATTCTAACGATACAATACAAGAAACGCGGCGCGGATTCATATGAAATATTCGCGCGTCAAATGAGGGTGAACTCGCGCGCAGTCGAACTCGAACGCGGCCGAGCGCTCACGGAAACGGCCGAGCGCGGCCGCATAACAAGCGCGCTCGTAGCAATCTTCGGGCAGTTGATCGGTGCGCGCCGTGTTATACGGATGGAGTCTATGCGTCTCGCGCGCAGAAACATCGAGTCGCTCAAATTATTAGTCATGTGGTAGCCGGTATCCATTACAGATATTTTATTGTTAATATTGCATATATATTTTATATTTATACATAGATTATTATTTGTTAATTTGCGCGCGCCGCGAGCAACATATATACATGTATTCAGGTGCAGTGCGCATTTCACGTTAACGCAAAAAGTTGAAAAAAAGAACCAAGAGTACCAGAATAAAGAGTACTTCACTGAAAACTGAAAATAGTGTTTTGGCATCGCCAGAAACAACACGTGACATTTTAATATCCTAAGTCTATTTTCAAATCAAGGTATGTTTTATTTAATTTTGATTGGTTATAGACTATTTTTACATTCTCTTCTCTTTCTCCTTTTTTTCATTCGAAATTTCTATCCAAATATCTTGCTCAATATTTTATTATAAATGCTCTAATACACAGTAAGTTGAATATTGTTCGATTTATCGTGCCAAAAAGTATGTAAATAAAAATATTTTTTTTTCTTTTTGTGTATTTTTCTCAAGTCATGTTTGATACTTATATAATTTATCATTTAAAGAATTATTGATTACTAAATATAGTATATTTACTAAAATTAAAGTGCATCAAAGAAATTTTAAGTTTATAAAACAGAATTATTATCATATCTGGTACTTTCAGACGTGAAATCGACACTCTCTTATGTCTGAAAATAGAAACTAGAAATCAACTTTTATATCAGCAAGTTACTGTAGTTTGATTTTAATAAATAAATAATTTTATTTAATAAGTAAAAAGGAAATAATTTAATTAAATAATTATAAATCAAGCGATAAGTATCTAACAAGATTTATGTTGAATTAAAATTAAACAAAAATATTCGAATGTGAAAATAATTTGTTTTTAGTGAAAGTTTGATGTCGCACATCTAAACTTCTTAATTTTAATATTCTCTCTCTCTTTCTCCAATTAAAACTTAAATCTCTGTTAAAGTTTTTTTTGGACAGTGCAAAATCTTAAACATTTGCATTTGCATGTTTTACGTTCTTTATACAACGATTTTGAATATTTTATTAATGTTCAAATTAGATTATAAAAATAATAATTTTATGTGAAAATAAAATATGTATAGAAATGAGTAATTAAAATTAATTTTTCTCAACAGACATTTTTGAGAAGTAGAGAATGAACATTTGATCAAAATAGTAATTGAAAAGGATATAATAATGAATATAAATAATTAAATAATTGAATAACATCTTACTCAATTAATAGTCTTTAATAACACTAATAATAAAGACTGATAAAAACAAATGCAAAATCAATCATGTCATAACATAGGAAAGTTTTTTTAATTTTATACTTTTCTCAACTCTCGACTGTCGTCCACTTATGGTTAAAAGCGCTTTCTCGTTAGGATTCAACGATCGTCTATGAAGCAGAAATTATATAACTGATCTGATATACAGAAATTGAAAGAAATGATATTAGTTATTGCAATTGCAAAATTTTATTTATTTTAATTAGTCAATTTACGACATTTTTGTTTCTCTAAAGATTTTGTAATTTGTAACGTTTAAAACAGTTTGTTTTGAATTAATTGATTTATATAGATTTGCGTATACAAACAAATATCACGTGAGAAAGTGTATTCAAAATCAGAGTTCAAGTTTTGTATACTCATTATCAGATATCTAATTTACTATATAAAAAAATCCGTTGTGTTATAAGGTTATTTGAATTAATTAAATTATATAGATTTGCGTATACAAACAAATAAATATTACGTGAGAAAATGTATTTAAGGTCAGAGCTCAAGTTTTGTGTACTCATTGTCAGATATCTATAATTTATAAAAAAAAGTCTATATTATGTTATAAGATCATTGAACGTATTATCTCAAGGTTGGCAGAATTTCTAGACTTTCAATTACAATCCAAAGACACGTGCTTGAATTATCTATATATTTCATTATTTTATGTGTTACGAGTCGATCCTTAAATATACTATTTATTAGCCGCTGTAGCGTCGCAATTTGAGAAAATAGCAGAAAAAAAGCAGACGCTTCGAAACACGTTACATATCGGCGAAGAAAGTAAATTTCATTTACTTGAAGGTTACCCGGTCGCGAGAGAGAAACGGTTCGTGTGGAAAAAGTGAACACAATGCGAGGAAGCGTTGCATTAATACGAGAAGAGAAGTGAACGTTCCTGGAACGCGAAGGAATAAAGAAAGTAGCGACACGTTCTCGACGCGTTTAGAAAAATGCAGTCGTATCGCACCTTTAAAATGCACAACACAGTTGACGAAAATTGACAGAAATGTACAGTATAAAAAATGGGATGCTCAAAACACATCGCGCACTTTCTCTCTCGACTACACTGAAAACAAGTTATATATTAAAATTTACAGTTATATATTAAATTTATATATTAAATTTATTGAATTTGGATAAGTATTTATTTCAATACTGCCTAATAAATAATTTATTTGAAACTAATGATATTGATTTGATGTAAAAAAGATTTATTTGATATAAGAAAATCCTTTTCAAGACAGATAAATATTTATTTGTTTCAAATAAATGATTTATTAAGCATAAGGTATTGAAATAAATATTTATTAATTTAATAATTTTTTTTCATTGCACGATATTGAATTTAAAAATAATGCTGTTTTTTTATTGCTAGACTTTCGATTATATCAAAAGATAAAATTATTCTATACCTCGATCTCGATTTACTTTTTTTGCATGATGCAATTGTAGACTTTTTCTATGTAATATAAAATATAATCATTATAGCCAATATGTAATATAAGCCAATATGTATATAAGTATTCATTATCGATTGTCATTTATATAATTATTATAGGTATGCATTGCATAATATAATTAATAACATTTTTTGTGGGAATAATTCCAGGATAATAAATATTCTAAAAATAGATATGATTCAAATTAAATATTATTTCATTATTAGCGTAAGAATAGTTTTATCTTCTGATGTTGCAACAAAGTAGCACCAGAAGAGTTCGAAACCTGAACTTTCTCTACTTTTTTTTAATTTTTGAGGAATACTTGCAAGTTATGATGCCAATAATATTCATACGCAGGAAGCATGTTTTAATATATCATAATATCATATCGATATTCAAAATGTCGAAATTTACATATTCATTAATTCAAGAAAATTTTTAAACGTGAGCGATATGCTCGCCTCTGCATAATCTGCGATGCATGTTGCATTTTTCATGCAGCGATCAATTATTATCGGAAATATCCACTAGTTTTTTTATTTATCTTTCCATAGGCTGCATCGTAATGTTAAAGAGAATGAAAAGAATGTAGATATTTTGTAGTGACACTTTCGATTTTAGTATCTCTCTAAAATTTTTATAGATCTGCAACTGTGTGCTTTCAATATAGACACATTACGACATCGAACTGTCATTAATGAAATTTGTCATTCTGAAAGTAAAACTTTCTCGCATAATTAATATGTCTCCTTTCCCTTAGAGAAAGAGTTATAATATTCTAATGTAAATATATGATTACTACATATATGTATAATTAATTTATTTCTTATCAAAAACACAAAATGTGGAGAAAAATGGATAAATAAATAAATTTTCGATATGATTGATAATAAAATAAATATGTATACGTTCGCAAATGTGATATGTATATACAGATGTATATACATATAATATTATCATATTCTTTTTCTTAAAGACAAATAAGCATCTATATTTTATCTTATTAAAAAAATAAGCTTCTATTTCTCTTGATAAAATTTCCGAAAATGCATAATTTTTGATATACTGATATGTTTATATAATATTTGTTGTGTATTTATATTCTCCATATAAATAATTCGTAAAATTTTGCAAAATTTTTGATTATAGAAATTATAAAAAATTAGTCTCTTTTATTGTTAATATTTATTTAATTAATATTTTCTTTTTTTAAATAGCACGAAAAATTTTTAAATGTCTTTTTGTTTGAGTCTGATGTAAACAAAGTATATATGTTATTATTTTTTTATATTTTGTGTACAAATAGAACAAGTTAAACCGAGTCCGTTTTTGTCATCAATAAGAAATTAAAAAAGATCGATTATTCTGTTCGAATATAAACAGGACAAGAAGAGACAGCTTTTGATACACGATACATAATTTTTCATTCTTCCCAATGGTTCGCATCTAATAATCGTGTAACATTTGATTGTCTCTTCTCGCCGCGCGCGGATTGGTCGATCTTTTTTAATTAATTTTTAATTAATTATTGCGAAGATCGCAAAACCTTGCTCGGGGATTCCTTACGGTGTCCCCTGACTATCTTATTTGGCATAGCTAGGAATTATAATTGCAAGCAAAACAATGGGCGTTTCTTTAGGATAACATCTGTTAAAAGTAAGAGGACACAATCTCGGTGCGTAGAAAAGTACTCATAAGTACTTCTCGACTCTTGGAAAGTCACCGACCTTGACAGACATTTCGCGAGTTTCATGCCAGTAAATTAGTTCTTTTTCTTCGGATGCCGATGGTATTTATTGTATGCATAAAAAATTATCTTGTTTCTACAGGACATTTTTTTATGCATACGATGATTAAATACCATCAAGCACATACATATATACAAGATACCCAAGAATTTAATAATATAACGTGGTTAAAGCAGGGTTGGGCAGATACTTCGAAACAAAAGATTTTAATACAAGATACAAGATACTGTTTGACATATATATTTAAATACTATTGGAATACTTTAGTTTTGAAATATATTTAAATACTAATTGTACTTAAATACATTTATAAATACTTTTAAATACAATTATTTTTTTAATTTTCTGATTATACAGGGTGTCAGTTAATTGGCGCCCAATATTTATATAGCGATATTCCTCGTGGAAAACTGAGTCGAAAAGTCCTGTACCATTTTTTTCTGTAAGGCATAATAAAATAGTGATTATTCAGTAACGTATTAACGTCACTGCATAATTATTACTTTATTCTGTAAGGCATAATATATATATGTATGTATGTATGTGTGTGTGTGTGTGTGTGTATGTGTGTGTGTGTAATTACATAAATACATTTAAATACAAGATACATTGAAATTAAATAATTAATTACAAAATTCGAAATACTTGATTATTTGGTATTTAAATCCTGTATTTAAATAAGATACATATTTAAATACGTATCTCAGATACTTTAAGATATATATCTGCCCAACCCTGGGTTAAAGGAATCCTATGTATTTTCAACGGGACAACTTACAAAAATGACAAATATGCATATCTTGATCCTCATCCCCGTTTTGCGTTTCCGGTAAATTTTTAAAGCGATCGAAAACAAGATGAATAAGTAAGAAGTGAAATACATATACGTCATGACTTCAGCAATATACAAAACAGCTGTTTATCGCTTGATCTCGTTTTCAATCACTTTGGAGACACCGGAGTAAACCAGGAATGAGAATCAAAACTCATGAATTTTTTTTGTCAATTGATCTATTGAAAGTGACACAAAAGAGAACCGAAACGTTTAAATAATGTAAAAAGATTTAAAACCAACAATAAGTTTGTTGTATGCAACTCTTTCTTCGCTTGTCTTTTATTAGTTTATTTTCTTACCTGAATTTATATAATAGAGTCTTATTTGTTCTATTTATTTGTTTAATATATTTGTTAATTTATTATTATTATATTATTATATATTAATATTTTATTATTATTTTATTTTTATATTATTTTATTATTATTATAATTATTAGCGTTAACATTAATATTAAATGATACACTAATAAATAGAATCAATGTAAGAAAGTACGAAAGAACTTAAAAAAATTTAAAATATACAACTATTTTTTGTATAAATTATAGAAAATAAATAGGATAAAGAATATTCTATTTTTATCACTAGATTCTGAAGTTGTTCTGAAATTATATGAGATTCAGGGGTTGATCCGATTGATTTAACAAATTATGCTGCTTTGTATTTTCAATTATTGTATCTGATGTTTTGCTTTTTTATTTATTTGTTTTCTACATTAACATTTTTTACTGTTGCAGCTGTTTAATTTTACTATTTAATTGTTTTTTTGTATACGATTGTAAAAACATGACAAAAATTAATATCAATAAATCATTTATGGCGAAGAAATTATTTATTTATGAAGAAGAGTCGATTAACTTAATAATGAATCATGATCACTATAATGTAAAATAAGTACCTCAATCAAATATTTATTCAATAAATTATATTGCATTATATTAGTCCTACGTTTGGACTCAGATTTTTGAGATCTTCATCTGTAATATAAAATATTATTGATTTACAATTTCTTGAGTTGTGCATGTGAAAAACAAATATGATAAATTATTGTTGAATATTGATACATACGTCGATATAAATCACCGAATATTGTAATCAGTATAAAAGATATTATTCTTTATTTATTGATTAATAGAGAATATAGTTATTAATTTTTCTTTATGCATCTAATTTTTTAAGAATTTACTCCGATATATTCGGAAACGAAAAGCACTCGATGAATTTCTTAGTAGTATAGGGCAAAATGTGTTTTCGACAAATGAAAATTTCCAGACATTATACGAATTCGACCCCACAACTTAAATAGCAAACGCAATTTTTTTATCATTATCGTTTTTGTAATACTTGCATATCTCAATTGTACTCTTGACGTAGGTACATTTTTAAACTTATAATACTGGCAGATATGATTATTTATATTTAACTATATCTATAATTATACGAATTATATTCATCGAATATAATTCCTGTTCGTTTAAAAATGTACAATTGAGATATGCAAGTATTGCAAAAACGATAATGATAAAAAAATTGCGTTTGCTATTTAAGTTGTGTCTAATACTTGCATATAGTAGATAGTGTGCTACATTATAGCTAGTGTACGAATAAAAGTATGAATATATATAAAAATATAGAAATTATAAAACTTTTTATCTTCTTTAATAATGTCATCTTATTAGCTGAAAAACGTTATTGCTACTCTTAATAGTCTAGAATATATTTTATAAAAGTATAGAAATATATTTTATAAAAATATAGAAATTCTATATAAAAATATAGAAATTATAAAACTTTTCATCTTCTTTAATGACGTCATCTTATTGTTAGCTGAAAAATGTTATCGCTACTATTGATAGTCTAGAATATATTTTAATCATAAACGCACTTTGCTATTTTGTATACGTTGGGGTCATGACATATGCGATTTCGTTCAACGTTCTTCATCTCGTTTTCGGTCTCTTTGAAGACTTTTTGAAGACTTACTTACTCAAGACGAAAATAGAAGACACATATGAATTTGTTTTGTCAGTTGATATTTACTGAAGATGGTTCAAAGAGGACCGAAACATTCATCTTATATAAGGAAGATTTTAAGAATGTTCGTTGTGCATCTACTTTCTTTTATTAACTCATTTCCTACCTGAATTTTTGTACCTATTATTATCAAAGCCTTTTCATTTTGTTCCTAATCATAAGAGTATCTATTTGAGAATACTAACGAAAAGTATGCAATATATTATTTTATACTTTTTATATTTTTTATTGCAATTGTTTTCCAATGTGTTATTTATTTTAATATTTTTCGCATTTGTTTAAATTTTTTTCGTTTCTATTATACATAAACTTCAGAGAAAAAAACATATGTATGTATATCTCTACCATTTATATATTTTATACTTACATTATAAAAATACACACACACACACACACACACACACATATATATATATATATATATATGTGCAGAAAACAGCTGTTCAATTCAGCAATTTTACACATATGTGACGACATTCGCAAGAAATGATATAACATTCACTTTCCCCAAACTTATTATTAGATGTCATCTTCGTGCTACATGCAAATCACGCACGATTAAGCATGTACTCTTCTATTTAGAGAGAAACTATATTCTCATATTCAATTTAAACGAATGATTAATAAAAATAATTATTAAAAAATAATCAATTATTTAATTAATTATTTTTTTATTGCTTATTATTTTTATTATTTTTATTTTTAATTAATAAATAATACTAATATGTTGCAGATTTTGCACTGTAAAAAAAAGGAGGCACGATGTTGACTCGTGTATTCGAGATGCATGGCCGGTTTTGCGCCAGCCATCCCTTGGAAGTGATTGTGGCGACCTTCACTTTAACAGCGTGCATGCTTAATATGGAGACTAGAACTAGACAGATGCACGAAGAAGGCCTAGCTGATACTTCATATTGTAGTCAGAACAAATGCGATACCACAGTAAGATTACATAATATTCTAAACTTTGTTCTCGTACGAGTATTACTTTTTTTATATGAAGTTTTGTGATATTTTTTTAAATTAGTAAAAATAGTAAAATTATATCAATAATATCTTCATTGATTATTTATATCTTATATTGTATAATAATATATATTAAGATCATATATCGAAATATATTAAAAATTAAAATGCAATATATTAACATATGAAAATATATTAATATTACGTATAAAGAATTGAAATTATTATCTAAAGATATACATTTGACAAAATGATTAATATAATAATTTTATGTGAATTATTATTTTTATGGAAACAATTTATAATATGTATAATGTCTATATGTTGTACAGCAGGACCTAAAAGCCGCTGACATAGTACTGATGACGATAATACGTTGCTTAGCGGTGCTGTTTACTTATTATCATTTCCGCAACTTACAAAGAATGGGATCCAAGTACATTTTAGGTAAAGTAAATATATGTTACGCTTATATAAAATTCTTATTATTTTGCGTGTTTGTTATGGATTACAGTACAAATTATGATTAACGATTGACATAACGATGAATTTATACTTATTAATTTAACATAAGATTTTAGTTTATTAATTTAAGATTATTTTGTTTGTCGCTGAAGAAGGTCATAAAATTGACCGAAACATTCGGTTAAATGGTCGTTAGTTTAATGTATGAAATTTTATATAATGAAATATTAATGTGAAACAGTAACAATGTGTAATGCTCTTAATAGCCAAATGTAATATCACTTTATTTAATTTATAAGAGCTTAATAGTGTTTATTCCGTATAATTAAATTAAATATATGTATATATTCATATAAAAATTATAAATAATTGAGATTTAATTTATAAATTTATTAACGAACTTTGATTTTAATTTTTTATATAATTTTGTTTTATAAACAATTCATTTTACGTTGATTATTTTATATACATATGTTAGAGACAAAAATGCACAGAGAGAAAAAATAACAATTATGCATATCAGGATCATTCATAAACCGGATCTTCCCAAGTGGTCCGTGAAAGCCTTCGACGATGCGAGCAGTGAAAGTTCCGTTGAAAAGTGATAGCATAGAATTCTCATTGAGCTCTATAACATACCAGAGCGAGCCTCTTTAAGCTTTAAGAGTAGGGAATGACCGAATTTTTAGATTTAATGACTCGAAATTGATTACTGAACTCGCACGCACGAATTAATGCTTAATTGTACGTATAATTAATGTGATTGCGCGCTCACTCGCTAATTAAAATTTCACTGATTTTTCAGACACAATTTTACACACAATTATAATTCTTATATTTGTTTGCAAAAATAAACGAAACAATCGACAATTCGTAAAGTTCTTTAATCTTTCGCATAAATTCATCGAAATTATCATCAATTTCGATCATTACTGTGGATTAACATGTTCATTAATTTATTATTATTTTATTATATTATTATTATTTTTATCAGTTTATATTTTTTAACAGAATTTTTTATTAATTATCCTTTAACCAAACTGACATAAACTTTATTGTAAGTTGCACAATATTTTTTTTAATTTATTATACTTTAATATTATATAATTTAATATATTTATGCATACATCTATGTCTGTGTATTTTTGTATACTCACCAGATTTTTCTTTTCTTATTATAGGCATCGCCGGCCTGTTTAGTGTATTTTCTAGCGTGGTGTTTACCACCAGCGTGGTGAACTTCAGCCGCAGCGACGTCGCAGACTTGAAGTGAGTATTATATTATCTCTTCAGGGTACAAACATGAGTATTTTGTGTCTGATCAATTTCTATCCATGGATGTGATCCATGGATTCTCATAGATAAAATTTCAAAAGTTTCCGTATTGATCTTATTTCCTTCTAAGAAATGTTTGTGATAAGAAAAGAAAAACCTTTGTGCGATGCGATGAATTGACTGATATCGAACGCCGATAATCCAATTGTATTCAACGTTTTTTTTTTTCTTTTTTTTTTGTGAAAAGTAAAAATTTTGTAAAAATTAGTGCAAATATTCCACGCTAAATTAATATCTAAATGTTATTTTGTTGAGATATTATTTTACCAAAAAATTTATTTATTTTAGAAAAAATGGATTTGTATTGAAAATCATGTAATCACACAATTATACTTTTTGAAGAATTTAGAATTCTTGCATTTTGTTTTCAAAGTTTTATACCTGAACTAGAAAATTTCAGTCATTTTTTAAAATACAGTTATAAAGAAATCAGTATTTTTTACATCAAATCATTCTTATATCCAATTAATGTTTAATCTTCGGTAATTAAATTATACTACATTTTTTCAAAGTGAAATGCAGTCATTTGTTCTAGAAACTTGAAAGTATATTCATAAATTTTTAAATATTTTGTGAATCCCTTTAAATAGATGAAAAAGTCGGACACGATGTACCCATGTTTGTACGGATAAAGTTCCATTTTTCACATTGTACCGTGAAAGCTGTGTACTTACACGCTTACATAAGATGAAGGAAACATCCCTTTGCGGCTGTACGCAATGCGATATTATTTTTCTTCCAGAGACGCCTTATTCTTCTTTCTGCTTCTTATTGATCTTTCCAAAGCCGCGACGTTGGCGCAATGTGCACTGAACTCGCGAAGTCAAGAGGAAGTCAAGGCGAACATCGCGCGCGGCATGTCTCTGTTGGGACCGACCATCACCCTGGACACCCTTGTGGAAACCCTCCTGATCAGTATAGGATCCTTATCGGGTGTCAGGCGGTTGGAGATTCTCTGCACTATTGCGTGCCTCGGGGTGATAGTCAATTATGTCGTCTTTATGACATTCTACCCGGCATGCTTATCACTTATATTGGAGGTAGATATCATCTTTGATTTGTCATCTTTGATAAATTTTAAGAAAGAATAATTCTATAGCAGAATATTGCTATAAAGCTTTCGTTTTTCTCGAAATCATTCTTTTTATTTTACTTCAAACGCAGAGAGCGTAACATAATCGAAAAGCAACATTATTATACAAATGCTAAAAATATATAAGATAAGTACACAATTTTTTCGATATTTGGAATTTAAAAAGACATGAAATCGAGTTTGTTTAAATATAAGAATGTACAAAGCTTACAGTTAGTTTAAAAGTTTATTACTAATGTAAAATATAAAAAACAATTTAAATTCATATCAAAGGCAACTTCTTCGAAATTATACTAACAATAAAAATTATTTTGTCGTCTAATCTGAAAAAGGATATTTTAGCTGCCTTTTTCCAGAATTGACATCCACTGTCTTTTTCTCATCCCCTATTATTATTACAGTTGTCTCGCGGAAATAACAATATGGGCCGACTAAGCGCGGACAAGATATTCATAATGCAGCCATTAAACGAGGAAGATCAGAAACCAAATCCCGTGGTGGAACGAGTCAAGATGATTATGATCGCCGGCCTATTTATAGTGCACGCTAATAGGTATATATTTTACATTACGTAGACACACTTTAATTCGTTGAATGATTTTTTCGTTCCTCGTTGCGTTAGTTTTAAAGACTTTAGAAAGGCAACTGTGAACGACAATGTAATATCGTATATATTCATGTGACGCAGCAGGAAATCGTCACAGAAGCTATCGTAAATCTGACTCCTATTACTTTTTTTATGTTTGCGTCGCTTTTGTCAAACATAGCATTTGTTACGCCTAATTTCAAGTTTGGGTCAGATTTATTTGCAATGCATTAGCATGCAAATATCCACTTCTATTGAACCGAATTCATATTCAATGAATTATATATTATAAAAATATATAAATTTGTCATTATATTCCTGTTTTTATTTTTATATATGCAATATAAAAATTGTAAAATGCAATTTTAATGAAATAACAATTTAAATTTTATGTGGACCATGATATTATAAATCTTTATAATCAAAATTATTAAAACTCTGAGATAAAAACTACGCTTTATGTATACTGTGACTTATAATTACATTACATTAGTTATAGTTAATTGATTACATTAACAAATCATAGAGAAAATTATGTGTTTTTATGGGAATAACACGAAGCAACTGTAAGAATATCTTCTTATACTAAATGTCAAAATGTCAATTCAGTGAGTGATAAATAGGCGAGAAACGTAAAATATCGCATTTATAAATATTGCATTTATCACCTCTTCTCCAGAGTGCTACTTATTTTTGGATTCTCATTTTACTTTGTATAGACGACTTTGGTCGGTTGATCTTTTGTACATGCTTTTTATTATTAACATTCTCATGCAATATTAAAATGCGTAAACACACCATTCATACGAATGATTTGTGTAAAAGCGTAGCACTTGATATAATATTTCAAATATAGATTGTACAATTGTGTAAAATTTTTATATTACCATAACGCAAGAAAGAGTAATTATTATATAAAAATGAAACTTTGCGGGACTTATTTTTCTTGTTTTTTATTTAAAAAGTACAATTGTAAAAAAATCATAATTATATCCAAATTAATATACATAAGAATATAATTTATATTATTCTTTCAAAATAATGTTTTGCAGTTTTTATATTTATGATATTATCGATTATATTACGATTATATTTCATTGTCTTTGGACAAAAAATTAAGCTGTCATAAGACCTTTTGCCTAAGAACGAGATAGTTTTTAATAGTTATGTTATCGATTTCATTTGTGTCTTTATCAGATAAATATGTCTGTGACGATTTCCTGCTGTACATTATGTGACACTCATCTAATATTATATGTACGCATTATTTTTTTTATGATAAAAAAATCACCCCTTGATGTATTGTATGCAATTATTTAAATTGAATTAAATTTTAATTTATATGTTATTGCTATTTTTTGTTACAGTCGCTGGTCTCTTAAGAGTGAGAAAAATGAATACGCGGTAGAAACGACATCCACGAATTCAAACGTAATGTTAAACGGTTCTGATCACAGTGAAAGCTCCGAAGTCGAGAAACAACTGATGAGTTGGTCACCCAGTGCGGATTACATTGTAATATTGATTTTGCTGCTAGCGCTGGCTATAAAGTTCATCTTCTTTGAGGATAGAAATGACATGGTTGCTAGACAGCTAACATTTCGGCCGGAGGAGAGAGAAGTGAATCCGGAAGTTCATTTTGATGGCAGCCCGGATAATACAATGAACATGTCGTTGCGACAACGATTCGGCATTTCGTTGCCAGCAATCCAACATTCAGTCTTTTCTTTATCTGCTGGCACGGGCGACGGATGGATCGAAATCGACAACGACGTGGAATATGCTGACAAAGAGGTGCAAACTCACGACGTGAACGAGCCAATTGACGAGAATTTGTCATTAGAAAAATCTGAAGTTCCTAGAAGTGTAGAAGACTGTCTCGAGATATACAAGTCTGAGGTAAGAATTATATTCCCGCATATTATTATTACATTACATAATTCTGTAATGCATGCACTATTTTCCTCAGAAAAATAGATGAGTAACTCAAAATGTTTAAAGCAGGCAATTCGCAATGCATCTTCTTTTTTCATTTCAACATTTCCATTTACAGCTTGGAGCCAAAGCATTAACGGACGAGGAGGTGATACAATTGGTGAATCACAAGCACATAGCAGCGTATCAGTTGGAAAAAGCAGTGGGTAACATGGAACGTGGCGTTGGTATTAGACGTCTCATCATAAGCGCCGCCGGCAAATTCACCAAGGAAATAAGCGATCTACCGTATATGAATTATGATTACAATAAAGTACTGGGCTCCTGCTGCGAGAACGTAATCGGTTATCTACCGGTGCCGGTTGGTATTGCCGGACCATTGTTGGTAGATGATCAGCTATACTACATACCGATGGCGACGACCGAAGGTTGTTTAGTAGCATCCACGAATCGTGGCAGTCGCGCGCTCATCAAATGTGGTGTAACTAGTCGCATAGTGGCTGACGGTATGACCCGCGGACCAGTGGTCCGATTCCCAAACATCGTCTGCGCAAGTGAAGCAATGTCATGGATGCAACAACCAGAAAACTTCCAGGAGATAAAGAACAGCTTCGATCAGACTAGTCGTTTCGCCCGTCTAACGAAGATTCATATACGTATTGCCGGCCGACATCTGTTCATCCGTTTTGTCGCGAAAACCGGCGACGCTATGGGTATGAACATGTTGTCGAAGGGCACGGAGAAATCTCTACAAATGGTACAGACTCACTTTCCGGATATGGAGATACTCTCCCTTAGTGGTAATTTTTGTACCGATAAAAAACCTGCGGCTGTGAATTGGATCGAAGGCAGAGGTAAGAGCGTGGTATGCGAAGCGATCGTACCCGCAGACATTGTGACCAACGTACTGAAAACATCGGTACACGCGCTCGTTGATGTCAACATCAGCAAGAACATGATCGGCTCCGCCGTTGCGGGCAGCATCGGTGGTTTCAACGCTCATGCCGCCAATATTGTCACCGCGATCTTCATCGCTACCGGTCAGGATCCAGCGCAGAATGTCGGTAGCAGTAACTGCATGACGCTGATGGAACCATGGGGTGCCGAGGGTAAAGACTTGTACGTGTCCTGTACGATGCCCAGCATAGAGATTGGCACGATAGGCGGCGGTACGGGTCTGCCGGCTCAAAGCGCGTGCTTAGCTATATTGGGAGCAAAAGGGGCGCATGTCGCAGAACCCGGTGCAAACGCCAGGAAACTCGCCCGAATCGTTTGTGCTACTGTGCTCGCTGGAGAGTTATCCTTAATGGCCGCACTAACAGCCGGACATTTAGTCAAGAGTCATTTGACACATAACAGGTTCGTAAATAAATGTCTCGTCACAGATTTACTGTAAAATAATTAAAAATTGAAAGGTTGAATGCAATAATGATATTATATGTATGTGTAATAATTTTACATAATAACTTATATATATTGATATACTATCATTATTGCCTAATAACCATATAATTTACTTCAATTTTACTTTACAAAAATAAGATGTTTTACTCTGTTTGCAGATCATCTATCGCAGTTAATGATCCAGTCAAAATCAAAATTACTCACACCAGTGATACGGATAATAAACTAAGTGTGCCAAGCGTGTCTTCTTCGCAACATCTTTGCGCTAACTTCGGAAAATCTTAACGTGAAGTTCCAAAAGATACGTTCGGGACTAAATTGGAATAATAATAATAATAATAATATAAGGCTCCATGTATTGTATGTATGCAGTGGCGCCGACTTTGGGGGGGACAGAACACTTTGCCTCCCCTCCCGCCAATAAATTATTGGGGGAGCAGTGCCCCCTCGCTTTTGAATGAGGGAAAAAATGTTTAATCCATTAAAAATGGTCATTTAAAATGCTTGTCTTTTGCCCTACAAGTTGTCACCACAATTATAAAACAGCGAAAAATTAATTTTTTTCAAATATCTTAACGGTGAAGAATTCTACATCCCACACTCTCGCATCTTCACTTTCTGCAAAGTCTGCAGACCTATTCTGTAGCTTTTTAACGTATGCGTTATAATCACAACAAATGATTTACTAGAAAATATATAATTTAATTGGCATATCCTGCGTAAAACAAAAATTGATTGTATCGATAAACAAATTAATTCCAATCTCTTTCTCTCTATATATATATACATATATATAAATTTTTTAATTTTGTTGGGATATGTTGTGGCTGTTTCACAATTTCAATTTAATTTTAATTTTGACTTGTATATTTCTCACCAAAAATGATATTGATTATTGCTGTATGATAAGTTAATTATTATTAAATTTACTTATAAGTATTACGTTCGTGTTCAATTTGCGAATTTTATATTAGTGTTTCGTTGATAATAATAACATATGTAATAAATTATTTTAGTTTCACTTGAAAAGGACCACAACCATATGGTCAAAACGTCGTGATATTCAATAAACGACGTTATTATTACATGCTAGTTTGGTCAATTATTTCCAAAACTCCATGTACATATTTTTTCAAGAATTTTTATCGGACTATGCAGAAAGTGAAAATGCGAAAATACATATATTTTCAAGGGAAATAATCTTTATTTATTTATGTGTATATGTTATGTATGCGTGTATAGATGCATCTGTTGCGTGTATATATGCATGGTATGTAAGAAAAAAGTATATATATATATATACAGGGTGTCCGGTAACTAACGGACCAACGATTACAAGTGGATTCTTTGGTCAATTTGGGAACGATTTTTCCTCAGCAAAAATGTCGAAAAAGGTCATCATTTTTTACAACTTTCCAATATTTGTCATTATGTATCTTTATAACTAAGCCTCAAATTAAAATTTTATTATAGTAAACTCTACCTGAAATTAACCGAAGAATGTAATTATGTTAGACTTATAACTCCAAAACGTTTAGTTTTCAAAAAACCTATTTTTTTCAATCGCTTATAACTCGAAAATTATTGACTTCTCAACATTTTTGCTAAGGAAAAATCGTCTCCAAATTGGCCAGAGAATCCGCCCTTAATCATTGGTCCGTTAGTTACCGGACACCCTGTATATATATATATATATATATATCAGGGTTGGGAAAGTTACTTTGTAAAAATAACTAGTTACAGTTACAGTTATCTTATTGAAACAGTAACTAGTTACAGTTACAAGTTACCAATTTTAAAAAATAACTCGTTACAGTTACAGTTACTCAAAAAGTAACGAGTCGTTACTTTTCAATTACTTTTTAAAAATAATTATACATTATTTTAAATATAAGGAGCTTACATATTATGCACAACTACAGTCAAGTATTTAAAAAAATTCTTGAATGTAATATTGATCGATTTGCTTGCGACTTTGCGATTACCATCAATGTATGAATGACCTTTATATACAACAGTAAAAATAGTTATATATGGTAACTTACTAAATAGTAATCGCAAAGTCGCAAGCAAATCGATTAATTATTACATTTAAGAATTTTTTTAAATACTTGACTGTGATTGGTCGATTGTAATTATGTGTTGTATTATTTTATGTACGCAAAATGAAAATTTTAGGTAAAAAATTAAATTATATGAAGATCTATATATATATATATATATATGCTACTGTTATCAAAATTTAATTTAACAATATAACGGCTACCATACTTAAACGATACTTTTAGCGAATGTTTCCAAAAAAGTAATTAATAAAGTAACTGTTAAAATAGTTACTAGTTACTAAAAAAATGTAACTAAGTTACAGTTACAGATGGAGAAAAGTAACGAAGTTAAGTTACAGTTACCGAAAAAAAGTAACTGTAACTTCGTTACAAGTAACTCGTTACTTCCAACCCTGATATATATATATATATATATATATATATATATATATATATATATATATATCGCCGACGAATGAAATAAAAATGTAAATCATGTAAATTTAAATTTCCAGTAAATTTATTTTATTTATAGAAATAAATGATTTCATAGAAAACATTTTACACATGTTATTCTTAAAAAATATTTTAATAGATTTAAAAAATTGGTATCTCTCTTTAGAGAAGAAGAGATTGTATTGGAATTAATTTCTCTATCAATACATGTATTAACAGGCTAAATTATACTCTTCATTAATTTCTGTTTTTTAATGTTCTGATATTTTAATTATTAATAATCAGAGATTTATAATATAATAGAGAAATGCAAAATGCATTTTAAAATAAGATATAAAAAGTACATTTAATAAAATTAATAACTTATTCTTTCTCGATCGCAAAGATTAAATAGTATATTACAATACTGATATCAAAAATTTAACTTGGAATAATAGCGTCTTACGTCTACATTGCAGAGTCGCGTGTATACAGATTCATAATCAGGAATTTAATAAATTTCTCCAAACTATATACACAATGTCAAGTGACCATTGTCAAGCTTCCATCGCACTGTATATTTCGAATACATAAATAATTGTATTTGTAAATATTCGATATTGATACTTTGAACATTCACATATACACAAGGCAATTATTTACAAAACGCATACTGTATCATAGACTAGATAGATTGCTGTATAAAAAAGACCGACACACATATAGAAATTATATTATTTGTGAAACTATTCTATAAGAGTATCATATTAGTTGCTCACAGACTATTCAATTATCAGAAAAACTAAAATAAAAAAATAAATACAAACTATGTGATAAGCTAATGTAATATGTCATATATATCTTTCAGATATAATCCAGAAGATATAAAATTATAATATCATAAAATATTTGATTTCTCTCATTATCTATTATTTTATTATCTCTATCATAAATGATAATTTATAGTTGTGCTTGCAAAAAATCGAAGAGAAAACATTTGAATTGTCTTATTTTGATGAAAAAGTAAAACTTTTTATAAACTTCGTGACTCACATGTTACGTTTTATGTATTAAAATATATCGACGAAAATAATCTCAATAAATTATAAAAGAATCCTTTCAATTTTTGTCATGATAAAATTCTGCCTCCTCTCCTCCTTCTTGCTCTGAACACGTCCTGACACTTAATTGCACGTATAATAGGTGTATTCTTGTGAATTCTACGTTACAGAAGGAGACGCGTCGACGACTGAAGTAATAATTCAACTCTTTTTACTGTAAAATTTTCGATTTAGTAAATACAAGAGCAGATTTACGTTGACCTTCGCTCTGCCAAACATATCCATGCAGGAGCGACCTTCGTACTGCAGCTCGAGCAATTCTTGTATACTAATGTCAAGTTTTTCCAGCTCGACACCCATAAACTTGCAGCGTACAGAGAAAACGCCGTTTCGCTCCGTCGGACTTATCTCGAATATCACGTTCTTCATCTCCGTAGGACTCAGGGACTGATCGACCTCCAACAACACGCCCTTCTCCTGCAGCTTCCAGGCGGAATACTTGATCGTCATTTTGGTTCGCAGTTTGGACAAGGTGTGAGTGTCCTTTTGCAACGCTTGATGCGCGCGAAGCGAACTCTTCCCTCGATGCAGATTCTGCAGGCAGCCTCTTATGTACTCGTTGTAGAATTCGACTTGCTCCTGATAGTACCTCGTCTTCTCCTCCAATCGCATCTTGGTCGCGCGCAGCGTCTGCAGCTCCTTGTCCCTCGCGACGCGATACTTGTTCTTGTTGCAAATATCTCTCGCTATCGCGGTTACGATGGTTTGGTAACCATCCGCGCGGGTCACCCATCCTTCCAATTCGAGTTTGTTTAGATACGCGCGCAATTGCATCTTGCAATCATTTATAGATGAAGTTTCGCGAAGTGTCGCCGACATGGACGAATCGAACAATCTTGCACACATCGGAGAAGAAGTGATCTCCAGGGATTCTACCAAGGTCGAGTTTTTCAAAAACGAAATCACCGAGACGAGTAATTCTTTCGCCTTCACGAAGAGATTGTTCAGATTCGTGTCGTCGTTCCGCGGCACTTGGAACTTATTCGTCAACACCAGGCATACCTCCTGCTTGCTGTATCGCGCTAAATTTGCCTCGTACACCACGTTGGATATTCCTAGTAAGGATGCCACGGTCGGCACCGGGCCCAGATCGTCCAGCAAATCGTGCAAAGGGTCGAATGGATCCGGCGCTATCACGTCTTCGTATCTCAACATCAAGGCATGCATCTCGCATATTTCCTGCAAAGAGACGCATATCTCTGGACTTTGTATAAGCGTGGCCTCCGTATATTCATGAATATCAAAGTGCTCCTCGAGATCCTCCACCTGACAGCAGTATCGGAAGAAGTCCTTGAACTTCTCGTGACAAGCGATTATAAAGGGATTCAAGCATTCTAAATGCGGCGCCTCTTCGCCGAAACCCTTCTTCGAAGTGGAGAATTGCAACACTTTGGCTATACTAGCCAGATTCTTCCTTTGGCAGGAGGACAAGGATCTGTCGACCGGCAACGTAACGATGTCAAAGGTATCCGGTGCCACGATCGCGGCGTTGATAAAGTGATAATAAATCAGATTACCAACAGCCTTCAGGATATCTTTCTCGGGAGCAAGCGGAAACTTCTCCGTCAGCGAGTTATAGAGGACCTTCGACACATACAACATCCCGTAAGGGATCAGATCGCGGGACCTCGTTATTCTGTTGAGAAACTCCACAGAGATCTTCTTCAACTGATTTATCGCTCTCGTGAGCGATTCCTGAACTGGGATATGTTTCAGCGCCTGCTCCTGAGACACCGTGTGAGGCATATCCAGAGACTTGCCAGACTCCATTTCCAGCTGATTTCGCCAGAGCTTGTATATATCTACCGGATTCGTCTCCATGCACAGATCCTTTTCGTCCAAGACCTTCTCGATCAGTGGACCGACAATTTGCTTCAATGATGCCTGACCATTGAACCGTTTCGCGTAATTGACCACCATCTCGCGAACCAACGGTTTGCCAGTCAGCACATCGGAAGGTTGATGACAATTGCACTTGATCTCCTCCTTCAATGCATAACCGAAGAGTTTCAGCAATAAATAGTCTTCCCTTGTATTCGATCCGAAATTGAACAGTGTCCAGATGATGTTTTTCAGGAACAATTTGTTGGATTTGTTACTAGGCGGTAAGTACAACAATTTGGATAAATATTGCGGATTCGTCTGCAACGCATAGAACAAGTGTTGATAGCCCTCCAGCATCTTACGACCTTCTTTAGTCAATGATTTGAGACCCTTATGCGGTGTCAAATCCCACGAGAGACTCTGATTTTTGCTCGCATTTTGTTCCTTCGCGAGATCATCCAGACTCTTACCATGCGCTACCACGTCCTATACACAAATACGTTTAAGTTACAATTTTAATTGTATAAATGTTTTGAATTACAATTCTAATTGTATAAATGACTAAGCTTTGAAGAAGAAATGTACCTGTAACGCTATTCTGTTCTGTATGAGTAATCCTATTTTAATGTACATGTTATTCAACTGCTCTGACAAATTCTGATTGTGCTTTATACATTGAACGACCTCGTGTTTTAATTTCTAAAACAAACGACCATCATCAGAATATATTTGATATATATTTATTATTATGATATGTAAGTGTAATAGGAAAATCAACGTACTTGTAATTCTAAATCCTTGTCGTAATCCTCTGCTCTGAAACCTAATATCGTTGAAAAGTGCCTGACCACGGGGAATGATGGTTTCTCTGAATATAATAACGAATGAAAGGCTTTCCTCGATGCTCGACCACGCCATAAAGCTTGTATCTTTATTATTTTGTCTTCCTATAATTTAAAAACAATTTTATAAAAACAAGTTTTAATTTACTGATAAGAAATACAATTTGTGTTAAAATACTTGATCTTTTAAAAATTATATTCAATGTTTACCTCTTTCTTATATCGATCTACTTTATCATTTTTATTATTTTCTTTTGCATTTAACAATTTAGTGTGACGTGATAATGCATTTAATTGTCGTTCTCTTTCCTTCAACAATTTATGATATCGTTTACGTTGTCTAACGCCTCTCCACCACGCTTGTATCATGATGATACTCCTTAGATTATCATTGATATAAATGCATCTATCAGACATTTTTTTACGTAATAGATATCCTCTGATGCAAGCTTGAAATCTGGTAAGTAATTTTTCATCGTATTTTATATAATTTTTCTGACGTTTCTCTATTATAATAGATTCAATTGTTTCCTACAAATATCAAACAAATTATTATTAACGATATATATCTTTAATTAGGTATAAAATTCATAAAAAACACGTACGTACATTTATATCACTTATAGTGAGATGATAAGTTTTCTTAATATCTGTTGGACATTCCCATGCATATCTTTTGCCTTTTAAATCGATATAGACTTCATTTCCTTCGTTGGTCGTATACGAAATATACGGGCATCTATATATTTCGCGCTACGATCAAAGTGTAATAATGATTATATAAATTATATACAATGTATGTGTTCTACTTTCTATAAAAAAAAAAAAATACCTCATACCTTTCGTTTCTGCAATTGTCGCAATGCTAGAAAATATTTCTTTTGGCATTCTTTGGTAAGCCCTTTAAAATTTTTAATCATATCATAGCTTTTGCAACACTCGAGAGCTTTTTGCATATTATTATCTTGCACATAGACGTTGATATTGTATAAAAATTGGATCACTATAAATATCAAAATAGATTAAGATCATTTGCATTTATATGATAAATTTCAGTTTAACAATCAATTAATTTAAATGCAATTAATTCCGACGTACTGTTTTCGATTTTTTCCATTTCAGATGTAACTGTTTTTGCTATGGTTTTAATATCATCCAACCATAGGTCAGATCCATCAGATTCTTTCTCATTTAAACATTTCTTAAACATCTTTAAGTAAAGTAAAGCATTGTGCGAAAACTTGGGTATATCATACTTGTCGGTTATTATTTCTAAGGCTTTCATCATAGTCTCTTGATCGTTCACCTCTACAGCTCGATTTAGCTGCTGTAAAATCTTTATAACTGAAGAAAATTATATCATATTAATTCTCAATAACATTTAATATATTATAAAAATGTCGTATCATTATATGCTATTGATATTCTTATTCTACCTTCGAAATCCTCGTCGCACTCTGCATTCACCGAATAGACGCATTGTTGAATGTCGCTATAAGTTAGTAAAGAACATTCTTCAACAGTTTTTAGCTTTACCTTCCGAAGCGTCACTAACATCTGAGTATACTTCACTTTATTAAATTCATCCAATCCCTATAATGAGATAATAATATGTTTAAATATAGCTTGTTTTTATATATCAGTAAAAATAATTATAGATTTTTTTATACTTACAGGAACATATACACCCGGGTTTGATAGCTTTTCATACACGAAATCTGGATTTTCCGTGTCCACTGCTTTAGTAATAGCAGCTATAATGGTTAATAGACGTACACTAGTCACTATGTCATTGTAAGTGAGATCAGTCTGTCAAAAACAAAAATCATCATCATTATAATTTAAGTGGAAATATATAACTGTAGTAATAATAAACAAAAAAATAATATTTATAATAAATTGTATCAAATTTTAAAGTTTCCAATTTTTCACATTCCCAGAATTATTAGATCCAAATTTAATATAAATTTGCCTATTACTGTTTCAATCAGATTCCAAAAAATTATTTGAAAAAAAATTGCATAAAATAAATATATGACATTGTATAAGATTTTCATTTCCAAGAAACAAAAAAATTATATAATATAAAGATTATATATGTATAAACTTACCTGAGATTCTGTACGATCATCTTTCATCTCCTGGTAATATAATGGAACTGCATACTCATCAATAATATGAGAGACTTCCAAATATGGACTTTGTAAAATTTCATAAAATTTCTTTTTATCCTCAGATTCTAAGGTCATATTTAGCAGTTTCACAGTTTTCTCCCCTATAATATAAATCGGGATTATAGTTTATATCTATTTGAAAAAAGAAATTTACAAAAAATTTTATTAAATAATATTAACGTTTGCGGCGTCGCTGGGCATTTTCGTTTCCTCTGTCAATCGCACTCTGAAATGTTTCTGTCCAATACTGAATGTTTTCAGATACATATGTGTCACTCCACGGGTTATTGTCCAACATCAGCATAAATTGTTGTTTGTAATCTTCAACATTTTCAGAAACTATATTCTGCAAAATAATATTTATGTTAGTGCCTTTTAATAATATAGTTTATTTAAAAAATATTTTTCTATACCTTAAAGGATAATACTGGTTCCCTTAAAGCAGTTGTTAATTCAATATCATCATGCAATACAGATGAAACAATAACTTTCAAGGCATAGGAAGCTGAAATAAATTTTCACATTATAACAAAACAAAATCAGATTACAATTTTGCTACTGATATCAAAATTTTAAATATTTATTCACCATTCACATAATTAATGTGCCCTTGTATTTCTGCTTGTGTTAATAGCTCATCATATACATCTGCTACATAACTGTCATTGAGAGACTAAATAACATGTAAATAGAAAGATTAATAAAAGTATTAAAGTAAACATAAAGATGTAAAATTAAGTATATAATCACATACTCTATTAAGTGACGCCTCTGTTTTGGCAATTTTAGCATCCAATAATGCTTCTGTATATTTTTTAATATAAGCAGGTTTGATGTTATTTAATTGTGCCTCTTTACTTTGAAGTGTAAGTAAAATTTTATCGCTATCCTGAAAATATAAATACACAGAATAATTAGTTTCTTGTCTCCAAACTTACCTTCTGTGATATAATTACTTGTGAGTAAAATAAAATGAACATACATTATCTATCAGAGCTTGATTAATCGCAATCACAGCAGCATGAAGAGCAGCTGTGTTTGTAGCAATACTGTTTGTTAATAAGCCACCTATTTTTTGGAAAGGAGGCAGTTGAATGCCATATTTTTGCAATTCTTTACTAACTGCATCTATCTCTTCATCTGAAAACATACAATAATTGATATAAGAATTGCATAATAATATAGCTATAAATATCTATCTTTCATTCAAATGAGACATTTATATATATATATATATATATATATATATATATATATTTTTTTTTTTGTTTTGTTACTCTCCTTGTATTTTCTAGATTTAGATAATATTATAGAAGACAAAATTACATACCAGAGAAGTTTACTTTTCCATACAAATCTTGCATTGGTGGTGCTTTCCCCAATTTAAATAAATGTGTACTAAGGGCATGAAGACAATATATCACTCGTGGCATATTCTTTTTATCATATATGTCTGTTGTTTCTGGCAGAAATGTCTGTAAAAAGCAAATATATTTATAAATATATTACTGTAAACAGAACCGACATTTATAATACATTAATAATATATTCTCTTTTTATATAAATAATTATAACATGAGTACATGCCAATGGTAGTTGCGTAGATGCCAAGCATTTCAGAAAATGATTTATGTTATCCGTATGACGAAATTGCAATCCTACAGCTTTGTATCTGCGCTGTTCAGAGTCATAGATTTTGTTCAGCGGTAAGACATTGGGAGCCATAAAATGACTGAGTTTAGCCAGATATACTCCATTACGAAGATTCTCTTCCAGCTCAGTTGTCGGAGGTAATGATTCTCTCAAACAAGCTTCCATCCATCTATAAATGGAAATTTTCATAAAAACTTTAATATTTGCTTTATACTTTAAAATAAAAAGAAAACTTAAAATATATTTCTTTTATATTAAAACTAATACATTACTTCTTTGCACCTTCCAGATAACAGAGATACTCATACGCCAATGTTTTTCTGCGCTGTTCATCAATTTTTTCTGCAGATTTCCCCACATCTTCTTCTAAAAATGCAATTATAAATATTTATAAGTCAATCACATGAGAATATGTCGTACATCTAAACTGTCTCTTCGTCATGTCAATGTCAAAGAAATGTTTTTCCAAAAATATTTGTCCACTCTGCTATTTCCAAATAACAAACACATAATTATACATACACATACGTAATTATAATCAATTATACCGTGATTTTCGATATTCCAACGAATGTTTGCATAGAAAAGTTTTATTTGTTCGTGCACGAAAATACATGCATTTATTATAAACTAACAAAATGAAAAGAGCGAGAGATAATAAATTATCCACATCGCCTTTTCTTTCCTTCTCACCTTTTCCATCCTCCGCCGCGTCAATCATCCTGGGAACCGAAAACAATCACGGAATCACACACGCGAAAAGCCGGAGAGCAACAGGTGAAAAACATCAAACGATACGTTATATTCCGTCGAAATTCAAATTGTCAAATTCCGCGACAGTGCTGACAACCGAAGGAGCGTAAAAATAAAATCACGATGTATCGAGTATCCAGATAGGAAACTCGCGATGAAAAAAAAGATACTTGAGAGCGCTTTTAAAATTAAAAGTAGTCTCTAGAAATAATAGAAATAATAACAGAAAAAATATAAATAATAATATAAATAATATAAATACTAATAGAAAAAATATAAAGAATAATACAAATATAATAATAATATATATAATAATAATCTAAATAATGTACATAAATAATTATTTCGAGGAACTATAGAAAACTCGCGATGAAAAAAAGACACTTGAGAGCGCTTTTAAAATCAAAAGTAGTCTCTAATAATATAAATAATAATAGAAAAAAATATAAATAATAATACAAATATAATAATAATAATCTAAATAATATATATAAATAATTATTTCAAGGAACTCTAGAGAGAGGAAATTCGCGATTTAAAAAGGACAGAGGGCGCTTTTGAAATCAAAAGTAGTCTCTAGAAATAATAGAAATAACAACAGAAGAAATATAAATAATAATATAATAGAAAAAATATAAAGAATAATACAAATATAATAATAATAATATATAAAAAAGACACAAGAGGGCGCTTTTGTGCGAAAATCGGAAGTGAAAGGGACGCCGGAAGAAGTATGAACAGCGTCGCGAGATGGCGCCGCGGGCGGAGAGGAAATTCGTGACGCTACGCTCACACACCCACCCACTCGCACTCACACGCACGTAGCTGTCATACGTACATCTATCTTCGGGGAGGAGTCGCGCGGCGGCGAATCAGCGGCGTGAACGTCGCTACTTTTCGGCTCCGCTCTCTCGCGTGAAGTTGCGTGCGGAAGCGAGAGCAAGGGCGGTGGTGGTGTGATCCGTCGTGCGGCCACCCGCATCCCGTCCCCGGGTGCATCCTGGTGAACCTGGTGCGGTCTCCTTTATTGTCCTTCCGCCCGAACCGAGGGAGCGGATGAAACGTGGCGCGCTCCTTTCCTGATTCGCCGCTTCTCTGTCATCGGCAATAAAGAAAGAGAGAAAAAGAGAGAGAGAGAGAGAGAGAAAGGGACACGCACACACGGTGCTCCCCCGGTACGTAGGTACCGCTCCGGTCGTTCATGGCTGCGACTCGGGGTGGGGGAAAACAAGCCCTGTAACGACGTAAGATCCCAAAAGCTTTATGCAGGAATATGTCAAGTTTAAAAATCGGTAAGTCCGCGACCGGCGTTTCTACATTACGTAAATATATATATATATATATAATATACATCTGCTCGCTTCTTCGCACGATTTAGTAGCGCGTAGGTTGTGTCACATCTCGCTCGCCTCTCTCCCTCTCTTCCGAAGAGAGGGAGAGAGAAAGAGAGAAGCAGACGAGCCTTTTAGAGCAGCGATCGCTCGCTCGCTCGTTTAGAGTCACTTGTGCCATGTCTATGACTAATTTCGCTGTCCCCCTTTTTTTCCCCTTCGAGAGAGTTTCCTCGCCCGGCGCTTTCACGGCCCGGATGTAAACGGAGATGAATTTTTTTTTTTTTGTTGCGCATATGCGACACGGCGAGCCTCGTATGATGATTTCATATTTTTCACTCAACCCTATTCTATTTTTCCCCGTAGCTTCTTAGATTATGCGTCCATTTACGATACAGGAGGGAGGAAAAACTCGAGTCTGATCGCCGGATTTTAACGCCATCCCCCGAAGGATGCAACCGGCTTTATGCTGATTTTGGAGCAGTTTTCACCTTTCTTTCGACTTTGCCAGATTTTTCGACGCGGAATCACTTTCTTTTCTCTCAGTGAAGTGTTTTTAGATCGTGCATCTCTCCTTGAAGCTTTTTCCTCGTGCTAAGGAAATTTTCAATGTACTAGGAAAGAAAGGAAAGACTGGGAAATGTTCACCTTAGTCAAAAATGCATTTGCGTTCCAAGTCTTATTAAACTGCTCGTAACAGGATTAGATTATTCGACTGATCAAGCTCCTGTAAAAGTCCCGTTGAATATATTGACAAATATATTAGTTACGTATTATATTTTCCACGCTAGTCTCAATTATATTTATTAGCCTGAGTTGTACATGCATATCGTAGCTGTATCTTTGTTATATCGCATGTGTATACATAATATAATATTAGAGTATAGATTACATATTTTTTTAGATATATAAAAATATATCATCTTTATCTTTAATTTACCAGTGAGATAATTACTAAGCTATAGATATTGATTTATTTATTTTATTTCTTTGCATTGCTTGTAATAGTTTTCTAGTTGATTTTCAATTATTAATTTAAGTTAAATATACAAGAGTTTAATTGAGTTGGAATTGTCATATATATTTATCGTGAACAGATGTTACTCTATTTCAATCATGAAATATATTGCACATTTAGAGAGATAAAGATTTTTGAAAAGTAAACAGGCACATATATAGGGTGAGTCACTTGACATAACACAAAATCTGCAATTATTCTTATTATAATGAAAATCTACTTATAATATTAATCATTTGACTTCACATATCATTGGACATTGTTATTAATATAAGTGCAATCATAAAATTACTATTATTCGTTTTTATAAAAATTATAAATGTTATATTCTAGATAAAAAAAGTTAGATTGACTCGCTCTATTAATGTATTTATATATATATATTAAGTATTTTAAATATAATATTACAATTACAATATAAAGTTGAGAAAGTTTTATCAAACTTGTCTATCTGATAATCTTGTGCTAATGATAGTTATTTTATTTTTTTCAAAGTGTTGGTAATGCACTTGCTTGCGCTACCCTTGAGAACGATGGATTCTGACCAAAGAAATCAGCAGGTGCATCAGCACTGAACACAAAAAATAAGCAAAAATAAAATAATGCCTGCTGCACTTACGCCGTCGACTCTGTACAAGCAGACTTAAGATTTATTGAAGTAGTACGTGAGTAGCAGCTACTCACGCCACACTCTCAGCTGTACATATAAATTTAAATACATATATATAATATTGTCGTGCATATATATATATGTATTTATTCTTTCGCACATGGCAGCCATGAAGCATGGTACGTTTTATTTTATTTTGTACGCTTTGCTTTGTATGTAAAACTTCTTTTAATTCGATATATCGATGATGTTCATCAGGTCTATTACCCTTCACGATGATTTGAGTTTTACGTATATTTTGCAAATTCATAATTTCAGTTCCATGTATAGTTCTAAATTTAGTTGCAAATTTTCCAAAAACTATATTGAAACAACTTTTGTTTCCATCTTTGATACTTTTTAATCTACAAAATTGATTGCAGTGTATATGATTGATTGTGTGAATAATTGATTTTGTATACTGGTTGCGTAAATTTATAAAGTACATGTTATTGTTTCTACAATCAGATATAGTACTTGTGTGTGTGTTTGTGTGAGAGAGTGTGTGTAGAATTTGGTTTTACAATCCTATTATCAGAAAAAAAGTATATCAACCTGATGAGCTTTCATTATAATTTTACAAAATTGTTCAGTAGGTAAATTATTCCTATTATTTATAAACTGTACAAAACAAATAAAGAGAAAGAGGAGGTGATAATTGACAACTTGATACTATTGAGCAAAGGAAGAAATTAGTTTAACATAATGATTTCTCTCTGATGTACAATTTCCTACTACAATGTACTAATAATTACAATACATTTCAGGCAAGACGAGTCAAGACGACGTATGTTACGTTGTCGCCAAGTATGATTACGGGGCACAGGGCGCCCAGGAATTAGATTTACGTAAGAATGATCGCTATCTGTTGCTGGACGATTCGAAACATTGGTGGCGAGTGCAAAGTGCGAGGGGACAAGCCGGGTACGTGCCGAGCAACTATGTTAAAAAGGAGAAGCCCTCGTTGTTCGACAGTATTAAGAAGAAAGTTAAGAAGGGCTCCGGCTCCAAGACTCTGCCATCCAGTAACTCGCCGTCTCGTGCAGTCGAGTCGCCTATTATGGCGCGACGTCTACCGGCTGATCCTAGCGAAGCGATCGGCACCGCAGTCGTCAAGTATAATTATCAGGCACAACAGGCGGACGAGCTGTCCCTCGTGAAGGGCACCAGGATCCTGATACTGGAGAAGAGCAACGATGGTTGGTGGCGAGGCCAAAGCGGCACCCAGGCCGGCTGGTTCCCGTCCAACTATACCCAGGAGGAGGGCGACGCCGACGACACGCTGCACACGTACGCGATGGCCGAGAATGTGCTCGATATCGTGGTGGCCCTTTACTCGTTCTCGTCCAACAACGATCAAGAGCTGTCGTTCGAGAAGGGCGACCGCCTCGAGATCCTCGATCGTCCACCGGCGGATCCGGAATGGTACAAGGCGAGAAACAGCCAGGGACAGGTCGGGCTGGTGCCGCGCAATTATCTACAGGAACTCAGCGAGTACTTGACGCAACCGTATCGCGAACGTGGTATGACGAGCAGCGAGATCAGTCAGGGGGATTCCCTCGAACGGAGGCCGGATCCGGGCGGCGATCGGCCGCATCTCGTTGGTAAACCTTGGTACTACGGTAGTATTACGCGTTCGCAATGCGACACGCTGCTCAATCAACACGGCCACGATGGAGATTTTCTAATCAGGGATAGCGAAACCAACGTGAGTAATATACAGTGAATATACGGCTGTTGTCGCAATTTAAGGTTCCTGGATCCTTTGCCGCGGCTATATTAGATTGTGACGTCAGAGACGAGAATGCACACGTTGAATGATCGGCGAAGAGCCAGGAGCCTTAAAAAAAATTCAATGTTTCAAGATTTAACATTTAATTGCTCCAATTTATTGTACCCACAAAGAATGCGCATATAATACAAAAATATAATATAATATATGAGATGGTTCGCCATTATGAACGCTTTGCTCATCGTTGTTAATTATTGTCAATTTTTAGATGGGTGACTATTCGGTATCCTTGAAAGCACCGGGACGTAATAAGCACTTTAGGGTACATGTGGAAGGAGCGCTATATTGCATCGGTCAAAGGAAATTCCACACGCTAGATCAGCTTGTAGATCATTACCAGAGAGCGCCAATCTACACCAATAAGCAGGGCGAGAAGCTGTACTTGGTGCGCCCATTACCAAAAGGCAATGCCAGTAGCAACGGTTGCTAGATGAATTCGTGCCATGATGATGATGAAGAGAAGACAGTCCATGCGCTTTCAGATGTATCGCTAAGATACGCGACGCCTGCCTAGTAATATCAATATCATCATACACATCTCGTACGTTTATACATAACATAATTAATATAATTGGTCTACACTCGTATATTAGTGTTTCTCGATTGTTTTTTCCATTTATACAGTGACATATATACATCTAAATATAATTTATTACTCTAAGTGAATCTTTTACACACACATTCTCCTCGGAGCTTCCAAACTACTCGATTAAACGAACAAGGAAACATAAATATGGCAACTATGTGAAACTAATTGACAACACAACAAGGCTTATATCTTTATATTCATATGTAATTGTAATACGCGAACCGACCATGTTATTACAATTAATAATATATTACAACTGCATATAATATAGACTGCGCAAGTGTAATGATCAAGTAATAATTAATTATCATGCAATTATGAACGATTAAGTGGATCTCTACTCTAGAAACTATCGGTATTGAATTATAACAAAGACTAAGTGTTCATTTGTGATTTTGTATTTATTAGAAGTTTTTAAGTAAATAAACTGTATTTAAGTGTGCATAATAAGACAGAATGTGTATTCTCGATTTTACTTTTTCATTATTTCATTTTTAATATAGTAGATTTATATAATATACAGATATAATATAAATATATACATATTTCAAGACTACAATATATTAGGCTATGATAATCATTTTTTTCTTCTTTTTTTCTAGATATATATATATATATATATATATATATATATATATACATATTTATACTCCTATTTTTAAGAATAATGCCCCAAAAGAAAAAATTTGTCTAATTTATTAAAAAATTTCTCATTAGGAAATTGGAGTAAAAGAAATACCGCTATAATGAGTAATATTTACGCATTTAGTAACAAATATTAATCTCTTTATTAACGTGTATATTATATTTATAAATAAAAGTATTATTTTATTTATATAGAGATGAGATTGGTGCTCCTGGAGATAGACGTTAATGGCACTAATTGCCAATAAGATCACACACTCACACGCACAATATATATAAACATACATATATATATATGTATATACATATATGTGTGTGTATATATATAAATAAAACAATTTGCCTAGTCTAAAATATATTTTAGTTTTGCATTTAGTTTGTTCGTAACTCCGTTAAAAGCTTATGCGTACATAATCATAAGAATGGATTCTTCGAATTCCTCGTCATATTGCTTACTCCCATACCCACCTGAAATTGATAATGATTAATGATTAATCCGAATGTAGCGAGTAAAAAATATCTCGACTTTTTACTTAAAGAAAACTTAATTTACCATAAATGGGTTTGCATGAACTGTCGGTTGCCATAACGGCGTCATAAGTTGACTCAATTGAAGTACATCCCCGTTGCTAGATGCACCAATGCCTATCCACTGTGAATCTGAAAATTTATTTTTCCAATTTATTCGATTAAAATAGAACTAATATTTTGGCAAACTAAAAGTACTTTGTAATAATAGGGATATAACTTTGTAACAGCACGTCTCCTCTTTAACTTCCTTTGATTCCCGAGCTTTTTTTCTTTTAGACTGAAAGTCATCAAAGTGTGTGTTTTACAAGTTAAACATAAAAAAATGTATGAAAAATTTTACGAAATATATATTTGATAGTGTACACGTTAATAAACTCATTACGTAAAAATCCTGTAGCAATTGTATTTTCCATAAAATTTTGACATAGGAAAACACATATTATTATCCATTATACAAAATACGTACCATTATTTACAGGAAACTGAGTTGGTTTAAACGGATTTGCAGGATTGCAGAGAGAATTATCGACGGATTGAGTATTATTATTGTTGATTATATTCGCAGACGGTCGCCATAAATCTCCACCCGCGAACGGGTTCGAGATGACATGCTGATGATTACCTACTCCTATACTCCACGTAGCGTTCGATGCTGCAATTAAAGAGTGTTTTGTATCCTTCAAAGCCGATTGCATAATGTTAAAGCATACAACCGATAATTGATCGACGCTTTGTCTCGCCTCGTAAAGATAATATATATTCACCATTCGTATTATTTGCATTCCATGTGGACTGCATTCCTGCCGTCTCCTCCTTCAATTGCGTTTGCTTCATCAGCGAGTCTAAGTCTTTCAGTGCCGCATAACGATCCTCGGAGGGTGGCGCGTGCGCTCCGTTGATCGTGGAACCGACTTGATTAAATACTGCCGACGTTTCCATATCTGAATGAGATAAAATTCTTCATTATGATAAAATTCTTCATTATATGTTGACCAGTTGATTTACGACATATATATATATACACACATATTGCCGTTCAAAGTTTGCATACACCATTAAAAGGATAGATATTATTAAAAAATTTACTTTTATTGATGTAATTTATTGTTAAATTAAAAATGATTATTTTTCCTAGTATTTATTTTTATAACATTTATTAATCATTTATTAAAAGATTATTTTGTAATACAAAAATTATAAAAAAATCAAGTAAAATAACATTAACTTTAATTTAACACACTTTTACCAAAAAAAACTGTTAAACTTTCTTTTTATAGAAAAAATGCATCCTTGATTTTAGTGATCCATTTTTATAAGTTGTACCATTCTTTCTATTAATTTATTAATTAAATATTTACGTATCCACTCTGGAGAGAGCACAGAAATAAATATTTGTATTATACCCACGCTTGATATTTCTGTCAATTCTTTTATTAGAAATCGGAAAGATTTAAATATTTAATATAAGTTATAAGTAGATTGATTCATAACAAGCTTTCTGGAGAGTTAGAGAGAGTCCTGTTAATAACAAATTATATAGATGTATAGGCAGGTGTATCCAAATGTTTCGCCGGCAGTGTATATACATATAAAAGGAAAAATATATATCTTTTTTTTTTAATACTCACTACTTGAATTATTAAATATCGGATTATTGTCAAAGTTAGCGAAGAACGTCGGCTGCGACGTGATCGGTTGCTGGCCAAAGTGATTGGTGGTCGGAGAGCAGAAAGGGTCAGAAGGAACCTTGCTGAAATCGGCAACGAAATCCGTGGAGAAATTATTCGAACTGTTTGAATTGTTGGAATTGTTCAAATTGTTTCTCAGCTCTGCGTTGTTGATTGACTTTTGACCGACTGACGCATTTGGGACCCTGGGAATAACGCTGCTGTTGCTGCTGTTGTTAGTTGTAGATTTTTGCTGGACTGTATTCTGATCCGCAAGCGAAGGATCGAGGTAGTATCTCTTTAGCTCGTACTTGGCGCTCATCAGGTCTTTCATCTTCTGCTCGTCCTTTGTGTCCAAGTTCAGCGGTGGATTCATGTTCATCAGACCTAGCCAGACTCTCCGGCAGTAATCGTTACCATGTTCCTTTATAAAATCTATCTCCTCCTGAGTGAACGTCGCCATAGAAATGGATTTCACTCTATGTGGTGGAGTCAACCCTCGTCTGAAAGATACAAATAAATTTTAGAGATTGAGGGATCCTCAAATATAAATTTTAGCTGAACAAGCACATGACAAATATAACTTTGTAATCATTGCTACGCAGCAAGAATTCATTTAATTGCAAGTGTCTATATGTACTTTCACTTTAAACTCTCTTGACAATATTTTTTATATATTCTTAATTTTTATTTATAATTAAAATTAATTTATAATTTTTAAATATTTAATTTTATTTTATATTAGATATATATATATATACATAATTAAATATTTAAAAATTATAAATTAATTTTAATTATAAATAAAAATTAAGAATATATATATATATATATATTTAATATAATAATCTTAGAATAATCAATAATTATAGAAGCATCTTTAAAGGTCTCGCTCAAAAAATATTTCATATACATGTGTGTGTGTGTGTATATATGTATATATAAAAATTTTTTATCATCAAAGTTATCAGAAATGTGTGAAACGGGAAAGAGAGAGAAACAGAAAATCTGCGGAAAATCGATGAGCGCATGCTCGCATAGAGTTGCAATTACAATTGCGTCATACAATTATTCTGACGTTGTTCAGCCCCTTCCCCAGCTTTCCTGCTGTCACCGATTTTGTTCCCTGCAATTCGCTCTGCTTTCCAAATCATTAAAATATTCCGTGTCGAGTATAACAGCGGCTCGCGTGCCACTAATACGACGTAGGAAGACGCCGTACTTTATATAGTAGCTGATGATGCAGTAACGAGATTTAAAAATTCGCACGTGCGCGCGCGACCACTTGATCGTGTATGACGCGCTGATTAAAGAGCGCGAGTCGATAACGCCGCATTCGTATCACGCGTGAATCTTATGATATCTTAAACATGAAAAAAAAAGAAGAGAAAGATAGAGAGAGAGAGAAAGAGAATGCATTATTTTATCATTTTTCTGCGCTATTTACGCGCTAATATAATTATTGCGTCGCGTATTACACGCAACATTTTGACCATTGATAAACTCAGAATTACGCACAAAGGGAAAACGTCAACGGCTGCTGATAACGACAACTTCCTGGCTGCTGGATCGCGCCGATGCTCAGAGCGATGACTCATTAAAGTCGACAGCACACTCTTCTCTTTTTCTCTCTCTCGCTCTCTCTCCCTATAATATATATCTAATTTTTCTAGATATATTACATATTATTTATCTATTATTATTTTATCTATATACTTATCTATATCTTATCTATATATTCTTACATTTCGACAGCGTACATTTCGACATTTAGGGCCTATTTTTCCAACTTCTCGGTAAGTTTTATCTGATAAGTAGCATATTTTCGTCTCTTTTCAGATAAGTTCTAAAAAAGGGACAAAGATATGCTACTTATCGGGTAAAACTTATCAAGAGTTGGAACCATCGGCCCTTAATGACATCAGTTTGCTACTTGGGATGTTATTTTATCTACATATATCTATATATTCTTTTATATATATATATATATATATATATATATATAGATATATTGTAAACAAATAATGTGTAATATATATAGAAAAAAATATATATATGTAAAGAATATATCTATTCTTTTTTGTGTCGCAATGAGATGTAAAGAAGCTTATACACGTGTATGTCGCCTGAAGCTGCTTCATATTCATTTCACACACGAAGAAAAAAAAGCTGCGTATATAGTTCTTCCTATTACACAGAGGCTCTCCAAGGATCAACATCGTACGCGATGGAATTTCGTCGATCGCGTTTTGACGGGATCAGCGAATTTTCTCTCTCTCTCTCTATTTATAGCCCCTACACATCAGAGCGGGCCAGGATTATGATTTAGAATGAAATACGCTATAGACGAGACCTGGCCCCGATGATATATACCGTTGATTAACACTTTGCTGTCCCACCTGCAAGGTCCCGCAAGGTTTTTTTTTTCTTTGGTTATTGTGTGGCTCTCTGTTCCCGTTTCGCGTTCTTTCTCTCTTTTTACGGGATTATCGAATCAGAGAGTTTAAAGCCCTGGTGATGCGACAAATGCGACGCTATTTCTCTCAAAACGTTGACATTTCTCAGCTCAATGTCACCGCGAGGGATGATGATGGTGACGATGATGATGACGATGATGATGATGATGATGATTTTTATTATTATTATAATGATGATGATGATGATGATGACGATGACAATGATGATGATTTTATAATAATAATGATGATGATGATGATGATGATGATGATGATGATAATGATGATGATGATGATGATTTTTATAATAATGCTGGATAATGATGATGATGATGATGATGACGGCGTGAAAACGACTTTACGTTTAGTTGCGGTGTCCCGGATTTCCCCAGAGTGCGCAGGCCGAGGAGGAGAAGAAAGAGAAAGAGAGAAAGAGAAAGAGTGAGTGCGCCTGGCTCCGGAGGACTCCTGGAACCGGAGGTAGGAAACATCCTCGAAGCTGACAAAGAGAGAGAGAGAGTTACTTACAGCATACCAGAGCAAGAAGTGCAGACGAACGAGCCGATCGTCATGTTGACGTAAGTCGGCCCGCGCTGGTTGCAGTCGAAGCACTCCTTGTTCCCCGGCTGGGAGACGAACTCGCGGAGCGTCTTCAGGTTCCTCTCGTCCTGCTTTCTCTTCGCGGACGCCATCGCGGACGCGAACGCGCGAATTCACCGGGGATCGGCCGATTTACTCCGAAGGGCCGACCTTCTTGACTCCTTCAAGTTGTTTGCTCGCACCTCGGTCCCGCTGGGTTCGGAGTTCGGACACCAACACGGACACCCGAACCCGGGGTTAAAAGGGGATAGAGCGTGCTAATCAAACCAGGAGATCGCGCCGCGCCTGCAGAACTGACGGAACTGGACGGAACCAATTGCGATGCGCCCTTCTGTGACGTCTCTCTCGGTATCTCTCTCTTTCTCCTATCCTTCGACCATTCATCACATAATATTCAAGACCGACCGGCGTTTCTTAGATTCTTGCACGAGTGACAGATGACGTGCAATAGGAAATGAGGATTGACTAGTGACATTTTTGTCCCTAGATGACAAGCTCTCCTATTGGTTGTCGAATGTCGGGAAAGAACGAATTCTTCGTTCGATTATATAGTTTATGACTGTATAATTCGTCGCGAGTTTTTTCTATTTATATGTTGAATAATAAATTGAATTATAATAAATTAATAAATAAATTATTCTATATAAAAATTAACAAAATACTGCATATATGGCATTATAAAAATATTTCTAAATGCTTAAAATTACATATTCTAAATTAATTATATTATTATATTTTAATAATATGTCTGAGAACATAAATATTAAAATTAATTGATCTTTTGTTTTATTTACAAACTTATTACTAATATACATTAATGAATACTTTGCAAGTGTACTTCGATTTATGTCAATTTTTATATAGGAATGGGTAGCTCTTTTGCAACCAATATTAGAATTTGATCTATACTCAGACACCAGTTTACTATATTTTTGGAAACCTTACACCAATTTTCACCGTGATGAGGTTCTGCGGCAATGCACCTCTTCTTTACATCCTCTTGCTGTTCTTCGGTACCATTTAGTAATTCAAATTTGTAAAAATAGGCCCATGCGTCTCCTAAATCCGGATCTATCTTCACCGTTCTATTAAACCAATCTCTGCATTTTGAAATCTTATGTTCACACCAAAATAATCTGTAATAGAGAAATTTATATAATTTTCACAACTCTTTCATATATTCTATACATAAGACCACTCTTGATATAAACTTCTATATATTTCAAATAAACTTCAACTCACTTTGACACTGCCAGAAGAACGTGGGGATCGTGTTCGCATTTTTTAAGAGCATCCACGCTCTTAGTTTTTCGTTGAGGTCGCGGTTCCATGAAAATTGCTTCCGCCCAAAGGAGACCCGATGTAGCACATTCTTGTAACGCCTTAGCCATTAATGTATTTGCCATGTCACGCGCACCGCCGTTTTTTAATTCGTTCCTTATAGCCTCCAACCATAATTCCGCATTTTTAGGATTCTTAAGTCGGGCCTTCTCCAACACTGAACGTGCTTTGGTCACTTGGTTCCTTCTGTGCTCCAATTGCGCCAGCAGACGCCACAGAGGTATTGAATTTGGACATTTCTTGATCTGTATTTAATATATAAATATATTTAATCTATAAAGAGAGATGATACTTTTATTTTAATTAAATCAGTACAAAAAAAGAATTCACTTACCGCTTGATTATACGTGTCTATCGCCTTATCTAGGTAACCCTGCTGTTCCTCGATTTGACCTTTCATTAGCCACAATTTAGGGAAGTCGTCGAAAGCTTCGAGAGCTTCCTTCAGTAGACGCAACGCCGCATCCAAATTATTAAGAGCCCATTCCAGCTTGGCGCTCTTCATCATCACCCTCGGCGTCGGAGCGGATGCTCTAGCCTTTGCCAATAAACGTCGAGCTCTTTCGTACTCCGAGTTTTCGGACTCGAGCTTCACTGCCGCCAGCCAAATCTCTTCGGAATTTGGATTAGCTTGAAACGCGAGGGATAAGATACCTCTGGCTGCTGGCACGTCACCCTGAAATAAAAGAAGAAATTAAGGAAAAAAGTTAATAAAGAGCAATCTCGAATTCTTTACATATTTTATAAATTTTATATATTTTTATAAATATAATATATATATATATATATATATATATATATATATATATATATACATACATATATATATATATATATATATATATAATTATAAAATAAAATATAAAATTTTATACATAAATGTACTCACAGCTAGCCACTTGGATTTGGCACCCATCAGCCAGAGCACTTCGCTCTTGGGACAATGAGCAACTGCTCTTTGTAACAAAGTTTCCAAAGATTCTCGCGTACCGTATGTCTTTTCAAAATAAGCTGCACGCAGCCAAATTGATTTCTTACTAGGAAATGTCGTTAATGCGTATGCGTAGACAGCTCTCGCACATTCCAATGCTCCTTGTTGGGCACACTGCAACAAAATTTTATATATATTATTGTATATTATATATATAATTATTATTGTATATAATATATATAATTTGTATATATAGACATTAATTTTAAAGTATCATTTCCATTATACAGACAAACAATAAACGAAACCTTACAGTTTCCGCATCTTCCATCCAAGTATGCTTTCTATCCTCTTCTTCCACTCCAAAACTGATAATGGCCTTGACGATAACTTGACAACAATGCACCGCTCCTGCCTTCTCAGCCTCCATAGCTTCCTTAAACCAGTGTTCCCGATTGATCTCTACTCCGTTCGCGCTCAACGAAGATATAGCACGATCGATAATCTTCTCCACCATGTGCTTATTCCCGTTTGCCTCTTCCAATTTCGCTGCGGTAGTCCAAATCTGTCTATCTGTTGGGATGTTTTCTCTAGCCTTGTTCAAGACTTTTCTCGCATTGTCGTAGGTCTCCAATCTGGCGAGAGCGAGCCATAAATCAACACTAGTCGGACAGCATTCAACCGCACGACTGAGTAAGATACGCGCGTCCTCGGGCTCCTCCAACTCGACGGCAGCTTTCCACAATCGCACCGAATTTGGGATATGTTCCAGGGCCTTTCGATACACTCTTCTTTTCGCTTTTACCTCCGTCTCCAAATCCGCGGCCTTTATCCAGATTCTGACGGAAGTGGGAATGTGTCGCACCGATTGCGCTATCACCGCCTTCGCCGTGTCTGGTGGTTGCAATCTCGCAGCTTCCAACCACAAATCTTCAGAGGTGGGATTCACTTCGCAGCCCTTCATTATCAAATTTCTTGCGGCTTGAACCTTGCCTGTCACTTCTTCCAAACGCGCGGACGCGATCCATGCAGGGGGATGATTGGGATTGGTCTCTCTCACGGATTTTAATAATAATCTGGCCTTTTTTATATCACTGTCAAAAAATAAGAGAAAATTGCGATAAGAATGTACATTTATATGTTAAGATTAAATTTTTAATGACACACACTTACTTTATGTCACCGCCATAAGTAGGAATCATGCTTTGCAAGTCTGTAAGGTATCCTTTTGGATCAACCACAGTTTGGCCTTCCACAGAATCGGAAACTTGATTCAACTTGACATTCATCAATGTATTTCTAGCTTGACCAATCTTTCTGAGATCAAGATCTCCTGTAGGTGTTAGCATACCCGGTGTTGCCACACCTGGCATCATAGAGGCCAAACCGCTGGATGGATCAATGCTAGTGGACGTTTCACCACCTAAATTTCTTGCCAAGACAGAATCTGGCAATGGGGTGAATTTCTCTGCTCTTGGATTACGCTGTTTACGGTTTCTAGCATCCCCCACCTCGGGAACGTTTTTCCATTCGTCTTCAGACACATTAACCAATTCTCTCTTCAAGTCTGAGAATTGCTGTTGAATCTTGGGACGTTCTTGACGATAACGTTCCAACTCTTCCCTGAGGCGTTTTTCTCTGTATTCCTTACGTTTTTCATCCATACGTTTGTCGATAGCTTCATAGATTGCATCTGCTTCTTCGTCATCTTTATCATAAGGATCCTGATATATTATTGAAATATTATTATCTCCAACATCTCATTTAGGAATTTAAAAAAACAACTGAGATTTTTTAAAATAAATGTTTAAACATTCAATTGAATACATTCGAATGAACAAACTCAAAAAGCTATAGTGGTCACTGCAAGAAACTTAAAAAAAGAAAAATACTCTTCAAGAAATCACTGATACCTTCTTTATTTATTTATATTTTGCAATAAAAAAATACTAAATGTACTATTTATTTAAAAAAATGTCAGTTTAAAAAAAAAATCCTAAAAATACATGTTTTTTTCGACCTCACAGGTAGATTTAAGTCTTTAAAAAAAATCTTACTCACCTTACTAAATAAGGAACCTCCATATCCTGAAAATTCATCATAATTTGAATCATTCAGATCTTCTTCGTCTTCTTCCTCTTCCTCCTTCTTCTTTGTACGTTTCGTCGGTGGAGCGTGTCTATCATCTCTGCATTCGGAATAAACGATAATGTATAAATAATTTTTAAGAGAATGTCCAGTTAACTTCTAAGCAGGAATATATTTTTCTACTTACGAAACATCATTAGCATCTCGAGCTGGACCGATATCAGACCGTGTTGTAAATCCTGTAGCTCTGCGAAGGGAAAAGAAAGGTTAACTTTACATTTGCGTCTCGAGTGCTGTAGTTACACACAGTTGTTACGAATATTTATTATTATTTATTATACATTGAAAGACTTACCCTCTGCCCACACCGGCGACATATCCCAAAGGTGCCGGTACACCTAAAAAGTGCTTTTTATTTCGAGTATTTAACGAAACCGAGGGAACCGCCATGTTGAATGTTGACAGTTCCGGAAACTTAGGCCTAGTTTACACCGTAACGTTTGATACATGTAAAGAACCGCCTTAGTCCGTAAAGGTATCAATTTTATTTTATATAAAATATTATGAATATAAAATATAGAGAATATATATATATATATATATATATATATATATATATAAATAAATAAAATGGACAATTTTTTTAAAAAATTCCTATTTTATTTACAATATAATAGCTTGATATTTCAGAAGAAAATCGTTATTGTGCAATATAGAAATATATTGAACGTAATAGTGACACTTAATTAAGTTCTAAAACTAGTTAGATTTATGCAAGACAATTATAAATACATTATATTACATATTTCGATATTGCATTACTGATGTAATAAATATTTTAAAAGAACAATTCATAAATCTTGTTTTGGCACTGTACTTCTAATTTCGTCAATATAATTTCAAAATTAGTATAACTTGTCTATAATTATATATATATATATATAGTTATAGACATTTTATTGCACTATAATGTAAATGTTAATCATTAAACTAATAAATAGTTTAATGCTTGATTGTAAGAAATAAACAGTTGGTAATTATTTCATTTTTTATGATATTATTTGTACAATATCAATGTGTAAAATTATAATTTATAGAATATTATATACGTTATTACTTTCTTGATGAAAAATGAAGTTATGTAACAAGGAGATTAATTTACAATCTCTTCATACAATTATAGCTCATACAATCAAGAAGGTAATAAACCTAAACTCTGTAGACATATCTGTGCTGCTTCTGCTTTTGCTTGTTTTTTGTTAGGACTTGCAACACTTGGCTTGTACTCGATGCCATTTACTTTTACCTATAAAATATATTAAAGTAATTAAATAAATAATAAAAATTAAATTAATATGTATATATTCTTGTAAAATATAAAAAGCCATGTAAATAACACTCACTTTAAAGAGGAAATTCTTTCGGTGATCTGGTCCACATTCAAAGCATAACTCATAAACTGGAGCACCGAGCTTCTTTTTTGAACAATATTCACCCAAAAGTGACACTGGATGTTTGCCTAGAATAAAGTTGTTGCAAATAGATATATTTAATTTAAAATACATTTTTGCTAAAAATGTTTTATTTTCATTTTAAAAAATTAAAATAGATACACATTCTCTCTCTGAAATGTGAATAATATATTACAAAATATTATTGGACATGCTCAAAAATATACCTTCCAATGTCTTGACAGCTGGCACTATAGGCTTTAGTGTTTTGCCAATCTTCTGTCCAATATCTTGCTCAGATACTAGTCCTCGCTTGTCCAATTTAACTTCTAGTTGTAACGGTTCCAAGGCCCCTTCCTTGTTTTTGCCTAGACCCTCACCTGGTCGCCAACCCATCTTTTGCAGCAGTGCCATACCCATCCCACCTGACACAGGCTGTGCTGATACTAATTGATCCTAAATAGTTTATTGAATTAAAAAAATAACACATCTGTCACATCATTGCATGTATATATTACATCAACATATGGTTTTGTGAAAGTTATAGTCCACGTTCTTTGGAATACATTCAATATAACTGCTACAAGGAACGTGCACATTATATATGACATTTTAAATAAATAAACTCGTTGAGGAGAGATGGACATATATTTCATTATCTCCTTTCAGTGATTTAAAGTCGTCATCTGTATATATGTATAATGTTGGAAGTACAATAATCTGTATTATACAATTTGCATAAGAATACTTACCTAATGAATAATAATCTCTGCATCAGGCTGCCGAAGTTGTTTCTTTTCTGATGTAGCTATGTGCCTGTAACAAACCCTCAGGTGGATGCAGACTAATGCTAAATATCCCAGCTTTATTAAATATATCGGCTTCTGGTGAAATCCTATAGTAGGAAGCTGATGATAATTAGCAATAATCTCACAAGAGCTCATTATCTCAATACTTGCCTACTGAAAATTTATTGATTGATATAATATTACTGGATGTATATTTTTTTAATTAACCCTCAGTTACCTCTCTGGATTATGTTAACCCATATCAAAAATGATTTTTTTGAAATTTTAAAAGAACACTTTTCATTTTTTCTCAAATATTTCGAGTCGAAGAAATCTGGTGACATTTGTACCGATATATTCTTTTTTCTTACTGTCTGGCGTATCGATTGAAAAAAAAATACTTCAAAATAGCTTCATTAGATCCAGAAATATAAACAAAAGAAGACTCTGGGTTATTCTAACCCATGAGTGGTAAAATAGGGTGGCCAAAAATGAGTGGTAACTGAGGGTTAATATATAAAAAATATATATGTTTTAAAATAAATATTACTCATTATAATAATCTTTTTAAAATAAGATAAACTTTTGTATAACAAGGTTCTAAAATTATAATCTTGCAGATTTTGCAATTTGCATTGAAATTATAATGCTCCTGTGTCCATGCAGGCACAGAATCCACTTCTACATAAGAAATAGTCTGTGCCTACAACACAGTCTCCATTAAAATCAACATTAACTTTTTATTGATCCTAGCAGAGACTGTGCCTGAAAACTTGTTACAGGCAATATCAGTGTGTTAATGATGTATTACTAAACAATGGTAGGTCAGGTCTTTTCATTTTTAAATACACAGTAACCAACTCTTAATTTAGTGACTCTTGATTTACATTAGTATTACTATAATGTATATTAGACCTGTTTCACATTGTTTAGAAAGAAAGAGGAATCTTAATAAGGATTTGAAGGAGAAAGATGCATTTACATATCACATATGAAATATTTTTCAATGATAATTTTCTTAATGATAATTTCAATTATAATAACAGACTTTAAAATTACACATTTAATTAAATATCATTGTTATAAATATATGAAAGAAATTTTGCAGAATAACATAACAATGATTATATTTGATTTGATAATGCATCGGGAAACTTTGGTATTAGGTTCCTAGGAACAGGTTTTTCATAGAATAAGATAAAACTCATAATAATAATTTTACCTTACGTGCCCAAGCTTGATAACCTGAGGACAGTTCAGCAGGTGTGAGTACTCTAACTCCTGTACTACCAGTAAACTGACCTGGTATCTGCTTACTTTCAGCCCAAGTTCTCATCTATGTTATAAATAGAATATGATATACAACACACAATAATATATGTATATATATTATTTTATGACAATTTCTATATTGTTTCTTTTACCTCGTTTTGTGCTCGATGCATTGCATTCAAAGCACCTACATCATTGGGATTTTCTGTTAATTTTCTCATAGCAGCTAGTCTTTCAGACACTATAGAACCAATGTCTACAGACTGTAATCAGTAAAATTGCTCATAAATCTTATCTACAATCTTATTTCATTATTAATTATATATTTTATGCAATTGTGTATATTAGATGTGAATTATTTATTATTCATTCTTTTATTTTACCTTTGTCACTGTAGGAAAAACAGTTTGCACAGGCTGTAGAGGAGGAACTGGTTCTGGCACAGGAAGTGGTGGCATTATGGCTGGTGGCTCACTTGAAGCTGGTACAAATAATTTTTTTGGTTCTGGTTTCTTTGGTGTAACAGGCACCCATTCGTTTTCTGGAAAAAAAAAAAATTACACAACAATATCACATGGGTGCATCAGAATAATTATTAAAATTACGAGCTCTGTATCTTAAAAATCTCTTTACCACTCCTTCTATGATGTTGTCCACTGGAGACAGGAAATTGCAGTCGTAACTGATTTGAAGTCTCAGCTGTTTTTTCTTGAAACGTTTTTGTTGGCAACTGTTTCGCATCCTGAATAAAGAAATAAATTGTTGTGTAAATTGTACATATTTACAAAATGAGATAATTAATGACATACAATACACGTATGGGGATTTATACTAACTCTAATATTCATTATAATAGAACTGGGTCTTTCTTTTAGAAGAAAAGGATGATGAAACCCTTTTTCAGATTCACTTTCTTCACCTTCAGAAGAAATACTAGATAGTTCACCTAATTCTTCAGATTTTGATAATGATTTACAAAAATCTGAAATTTATAATTAATTACACATACAATTGCCATATATAATTACTATAATAAAATCTTAATTTAAACTAAATAAAAATTACCTGTAAGTTCTTCCACTGTTTTTCCACCAGATTGTATGGCAGCGATAGCTTTATCTTGTTGAGCTAAAGGGAGAGTTCCTTGTTTAATCATATTTATAGCATTCCTCCTAGCAATTTCTAACAATTTCTTCTTATCAATCTCTATTCGTTCTCTAAAAAATTAATGTCATAAATTCGAGAAACACAAATAATACACGCTTTATTTCTATAAAGTAATTTAATGCAATTCTAACTTTCTTTCTCTGCTTCTACTTCGGCCTCGCGTATTCTTGTCTCTATTTCTGTTTTCACTGCGACTTCTATGTCTACGCCTCTCTCTGCTCCTGCCCGAATCACGTCTCTCATCATTTTTATCACTGTCACGCCTTTCTTTGCTCCTGTCTCTCTGTTTTTCTCTTCCACCGCTCCTACTGCGATGCGAATCGTGTCGCGTTCGTGATCTCGATCTCTTTCTGTCTTGAGAATGGCAACTCCTACTTCTTTTAGTATCCCTTTTTCTTACACTTCTGTAATTAAAATTGTGATGTGTTATTATTCATATATAAGTTTTTTTAATTATAAATTTAAATATAAGTGTTATTTTTCTCACCTTTTCTTCTCCTTCTCTCTTAAAACTAATCTAAGATCATTCTTTGAAGGGAATGACTTTTTTGATGGACTATACATTCTGCTTCTTAGCTTTTCTCTACTTGGACTGAACGATGGAGACCTGCCGTGAACTGGAGGAGGACTTAGAGTAGGTGTCCTATTATCATCACTACTGCTGTCAGACAGTTCGCCATCTTCCATTCTTGCAGCTTTTGCCTTTTGCTTATTTTCTATCTCTTTAACTGTTTCACTATAAACAGTACTGTTTTTGAGATCCTTTATTAATATTTTTCCTTGAGAAGGCTGCTTTGGTTTTTCTATTTATGAAAAGATATATTATTTATATGTTCTTGCTTTCCTTTATATATATTACTTTAAAAATTATTTTTAATAGTATTGTGGCGATAAATGCCACAAGCATATAAAATATATACAAAATAAGAATATATACAAAATAAAATATATATGAAAAAAAAAATATAAACGAAATAAAATTAAAATTACAAGCGACGTGTGTTAAGAATATCGCGACCGGTGACACAAAACAATAAATAAACAAATAAGCGACTAACATGTAAAAAGTTTGTATTCTTTGTAACACGAATAAATGCAGTGAAATACAATATACTTTACACCCTAAATTAATATTTTCGGATAAAATATCCTCTCCCGATCCGCGATATTGGCAAAACATTAACAATCGAACAAGCACGCGCCCCAAAGTATAATACAATCAACAATGGAGACTATTAACAAATTCTAACAAATACAAACCAAGAAGTTTAGGCATTATTGGCTCATCAAATTCGTCTTCCATCTTCTTTAATATAGGTGGTAATTGAGGACTACCAGAACCATCTACAATTTTATCAACGATATCTGAATCTTTGTTTATATACATCTGGTTCTCAAATTTTGTCACCTCATTAATGCTATCTTTTTTCGACATAATGTCAAACATCTTTGATTCTTCATCATTTATACTTCCAAGATTCATGTCATCGTTCAGTTTTGTCAGTTTAACTTTAATCTCACTAGATTCCGACGACTTGCTCGAAACAGATTCGCGTCTCCGTTTTGATCTTTTCTTGTGTTTCTTCTTTTTCTTTACACCTAATTGAAGGACAGAAGTATCAAATTACAGTGCTGTTACAATGAATAATCACACGCATCATTATTAAATTTCTTTTTAGTTGAACTGGCTGTGCTACTTCAGAGTTTATCTTTTTAACTCCAATAAATATATATATTATATATATATATATATATATATATATATATATATATATAATATAATAAATATATTAAATATAATTTAAGTTTTATTACCTTCTGCATCGCTGGTACTGTCCGAGGAATTGTGCCTCGATTTCTTCTTGTGTTTCTTTTCCTTGTGCTTGTGTTTCTTCTTTCTCTTCTTGGTGGCTTTGGCGCTGCCATTCGGGACTTGCTGATCGCTGTTCTCGGGCGAAGCGACGCCGTCCTCCGGTGCGTCAAAGGTGCTGAAGAGCTCCGTCAGAATCTCGTTGGACGATTTTTCAGGTAATCCGGGCTCCGGCTTGATCTTTACGCCGTCGACGCCGACAGTTGTGATGAGATTGGCGATGTTGAATAAATCTGTCATCGCGAGCGAGTTCTCTACCAGTAAAATACAACAACAAACTTTACGTCAAGCTTTACATGAATAACTGATCAATGAAATCGATGTTAACCTAGCCTAAACGTATGCTTGGACACATATATATATATATATATATATATACAATCGCAAGCCACATCTCGCAAGTATTTGACAAATCACTTGGGAACCGCCTTAAGGAATTTGACATAAATATATTTCATTTTATATTATTTTAATATAATATATATTATTATAATTCTATATTCTAAATTGGCGTCAATTTTTATTCGAGTTACCTTTTATTATTCAAGAGCTTGTTTTTTAGTAACTTTAGCAATATTTCAGAATCTAAGACGAAAGATTGTTTTATTGGACATTGTATGCGCGAATTAAAACAATATTATGATAAGATTTTATTAAAACACACAATCGAATCAATCAAAGTGATCGAAATAAATAATTAATAATGCGCCATCGTGACGCGCTAGCCGCGACCTTCCTTCCACCTCCACGCCGCATTCCATTCTCCCCACTCCTTCCTACTTTGCGCCATCTCACCCACCCCCACTTCTAACCTGCGCGCCGCGCTGCGCACCGCATTCCATTAAAGTCACTAGATGTTTATCTAGTAACTTTGCATTCCATAGCTATTACGTCGCACGTCACGCCAACCCTGCTGTCACATTGGAGCCAAAATGACGTCAAAAAGTGTACAGAGTGCACACTTTTGTGATATATGTGTACATTACATGCACTTTTAAACGAGAATTAGTGTAGAATGACTGCAAAAATCGAAGAAAAAGCTAAAAATTATACAGTTTTTGCAAATATTTTTACAAGATTTATTTTACAAATTTTGTCCCATTTGTTTATTTATAAACTTATAAAATTATTTGCTACAGCACGTCATCCATTTTTATTAAAAAACAAACACATTATTAATACTATAAAAAATAATAATAGTATAATAATATTAAAAATATAATAATATTAAAACTATAATAATAATAATACTATAATAATAATAATAATATAATATATTAAAAATATAATAATATTAAAACTAATAATAAATATAAAAATACTAATAATAAATATTGTTATAAAAGCATATATGTGAATAAAATAAATATAAAGCGTAAATATAAAAAGATACTGATTTTATATAATTAAAACAAATATATAATTTAAACGAGCCGCGTGTTGGAGCCAAAATGGGATATCTAGGGACTTTTCGCACGGAAGCGCGCAGCGACATCTGGGCAGGAAAAAGCGGCAGGAAATGGACGGCGTTTAAAAGCCAACGGTCTTTTGAAACTTCCTTCTCAGTCCATTTAAATCACTCATTTGAGGTGTTCGCTGCTTCGTAACGTGCTTTCCTCGGAATTCCACGTCGAAGATTTGTGCAACGTATATTTAACGCCGAAGCTGGTGAAGCACTCTTCTACGAAGAGGTATTCCTGGCTAATTCTTCCTCGATTTATTTTTCACCGCGGCGTCTCCTTTGGCGACCTTATTTTCGTTCTCTATTTTGGACGGATTTTTTTTTCAGCAACGCGAGGCTGCACGCATTTCGATTATGTCACACCTAAGATTTATGAAGGAACTCAACAATCTGACTAGAATGGACGAAGCTATCAAGGGTCCTATACCGCGATGGCAGAAAAAATGCATGGAGACATCGAACTTGAGGTAAAATAATCTACCAGAATGTGGTTGCGTTGATCCGTTATTTACGTTTTGATTGAATGTCGTCCAAATTTATTTCGGATTCGGAGATATAAAATTATTGACTTTATTTAATAATGAATATAGTTTTAATATAAAGTTTATTTCACCTTCTCACCAAGAAAGGGACTTGATTTACAATTTTTTCTACTCACGTTCATTCATCTATTCCATTTACTGCTATCTATTATTTTATATTTTTTTTTTTCTAATGAAATAAATATATTAACCTAATAAAATTAAATTACAATTAAGTTAAATTACATTATAGTATACTATACATTAAACAGTTTACATTTTACAGTTTTTATATTGCATCCTGAATATGGTTTTAATATACAAATCTATATTGTACATGTTTCAGTATCAATCTTAGTTTGAACTCGTCAAAGAATGTTAAGAGCAGTTCCTTTACAAGTAGTGCATCAGGAAAAACTCCGACGAAGAGGAACGATAGCAAAAGCAAGAAAACTCCCTCTAAAGGCACAAAGAAATCTCCAAGTAAGATAATATATACTAATATGTGCAATTAATAGAGAATATGATATTTTTAATAAAACATTTTTATAATGAAACAGGTCGTGTCACTCCAGCTAAAACTCCCAATGGCGGTGATAGATTTATACCGTCAAGATCCACAACCAATTTCGAATTGAGCCATTTTAAGGTATGAAAAAATTATATTTAATTTAATTCATTTAATTAATTTAATGCATTGTAATTTTGTAGCACTTAGTTTAAAACATAAATAATTTTTTTATGTTTTAGATTCTTCAACACAATGCAGAACAGAATGGAGATAAAACAAACTTTGATTCTTCGAAACAAGAGATGCAGCGTCTCATAGGAGAGAATCTTAATGTTGGTGACATCAATAATGCAAGAATTTTATCTTATCAGGTGAAAGCACCAGCGCCGCCAGAAGGATATCAAAATCCTCTCAAAGTTTTGTACAGTCAAACTAAAACACCAGCTAGTGTTAGAGCTTCTACAAGATATATACCACAAGCTGCTGACAGGATATTGGATGCGCCAGAAATCATTGACGATTATTGTGAGTAATATAGTATTATATTCACTCTTTTAGCACTTATTCACCTAATACAAAAATAATTGAATAAACATTTCATGTTTTATAGATTTAAACTTGGTGGATTGGTGTAGCAGTAATATATTGGCTGTAGCATTGGGTTCCAATGTATACTTATGGAACGCTGAGACTGGAACAATAGAACAATTATTCGAATTGGACACGAATGACTATGTATGCTCCGTTGCATGGGTTGAAGAAGGTCCATATCTAGCAATTGGCACCACAGCAGGAAATACAGAACTATGGGACTGTAATGAAATGAGGAGAATGCGCACTATGGATGGACACGCGTCCAGAGTCGGTTCTCTTGCCTGGAACTCTCATATATTATCAAGTGGAAGCAGGTAGTGTCGACTTGACTGCCGTTATTCTTTAAAACTTTGTTACAAAAATAATTGAATGATTTTTTAAAGTAATTAGTCGATTTTTATAAACATCAGAAATGATTCTTTATAATCATCAATTTTTGATAAATTGACTATAATTTAAGATTTAAGCATAATATTCATTGAAGATCTCTCTTATCATTAATAAAAATAAATTCTAATTCAAATTGTAATTGAAACAAAATTTGAATTCATATAATTAAAGCTATTTATTTCATAGATCAGGTAAAATAGTACATCATGATGTCAGACAACGGGATCATTTGATCTCGACTATAAACGCACACGCTCAGGAAGTATGTGGCTTAAAATGGTCACCCGATGGACAGTATTTGGCCAGCGGTGGCAACGATAACATGCTGCAAATCTGGCCGTCGATCAACAGTCGAAATAATTCTCAATCTATTTATTCGTTTAATCAACATCAAGCTGCTGTAAAAGCGCTTGCTTGGTGCCCCTGGCAAACCAACATACTCGCAAGCGGTGGCGGTACTGCTGATCGGAGAATTAGATTTTGGAATATCTACACAGGTAAGCTATGCAGAGATACATGCTATAATTTGGGGATTATAGTAAATAGAAATGTATATAGTAAAATCAACAAAAATATATTGTAATAGTACGTAAAAGAAAAATATAATTGTATATCTGTATAAAATATATAAAATAATATATACCTATAAAACGAAATAATAGAGTGGAACACAATAAAAATATAAATTAATTTGATTTTTTTGCTGCAGGTACTTGTTTAAATACAATAGATACAAAATCTCAGGTTTGTGCTCTATTGTGGTCTACAAATTACAAAGAGATCATCTCAGGCCATGGATACGCGCAAAATCAATTGACAATCTGGAAATATCCGATGATGACGAAAGTCGCAGACCTTATAGGACACACCAGTCGCGTTTTACACTTAGCCATGTCTCCGGATGGAACCACGGTACTTAGCGCAGGTGCCGATGAAACGTTAAGGCTGTGGAAATGCTTCCAAATGGATCCACAAAAAAAAAAGAAAGAACCTAGTGAGATAAAATCGGTCGCATCTAGACTTAAGCAATCGATTCGATAAAAACGTATCGCGAAGCGCGCGATTATTTTTTCAGTATTTATTTTCAATAACTAATTGTATATGTGCGATCGCGGAGCATGTAATATAAAAAGAGATACATTAACGTTGTTGAACATTGTCAGATACAAAAAAAAACATTTATAACACATCAATTGACTAATCTGTTTTATACAGAGACATATAGATTAATGTTAGCATTTCATATCACGAGATTCAGGAGATACCAGCTTACATTCGGCTATGTACGATAAGTGAAAAAATTAAGTCTAAATGGATATTATCGAAATAAAATACAAAGAAGCTTTGTCAGTGGATTAAATCTCCAAATTGTATGATGCAAACATTTAGGTTTTACACAAGATATAATCTTTAGCTTGATAATTATAAATAGGAATAAATAAAGTTTTTTATGCATACTAAGTAAAAGCCTATTTTCCTATATTATTTTGTAGTACACTTTTTATATCGAATTATTATCTTATTATTAATAATCTTGAAAAATATTATAATCCTAATCTAAAAAATTTTATTAGATATTTTAGATTATGGATATTTTTACAAATCTATTTAAATATCTATCTGTCTTACTATTTAAATTCACACACACACACACACATATATATATATAATCTCCTTTATACACATATGTAAAGTGAAAGGTGTGTGGAATCCCCACTCTTCTCTCTTCACCTATCACACAAACTATCTTCAGGTATATTATGTTACTATCACAGGTGCACATGTAAGCAACAGGTAGGCTCTGAGCTTACTTTGCTACAGTTACAATGAATGAGCGCAAGTAAAATTAATAATAATAATTGTTATATGTGCTTAAAAGATATTAAAATATGATATTTCAAATGTCAGAAAGATATAATATTATTGTATAATATTTAATATTTGAAACTCGAGCTTTATAAGACTTGCATTTGTCGCAAATTCATTTTTCAACAAAACATGAGCGAAATAGAAAATAAAAATGTTCCATTAAAATCTAAATACAAACGTTCTAATCAGTCGTATTCTACGGATACTTGTAACGAAGATGATCACGACTGGTGGGCAAGCGACAGCGGTTCCAGCACAGGATCGTATTACTCCGATACCGACAGGTGAAACTAGATTAGCTTAACAAGTTTAAATGTAACAAGTTAAGATTTGTCCTAATAGAAAAGATATGTTCTTTCTTGTGACTTGAGATTTGGCAATTGCAGTTCTCTGGTCGAATGGGAATCGGAGATTGAACCCAACGGAGAAGTATTTTACATAGAATCCGTGGAAGAGAGTCTGCTCGATTCCGACCGTCCAACTTCGGAGGATAAGGACGATAGTCCGCAGCCTGAACTGACACGTCGTCGTAGCACGAGGGCTGGCAAATTGTTCCGTCTGATCAGACGCAAAGAGAGTAAGCGATGGAGCATGAGAAATAAGAGGATCAACAATAGCACTGCTGCAAGTAACACAGTTGCACAGGAGAAAGGAGATGGAAACAAGGAAGTCACGTTTCAAGATTTCCAGGTAACGATTGATTACATCAGATGAGAAAAGTATTTTGAAAAAATAAATAATTATAAATATAATAATAAATATAAAAAGATAATAATAAATAATTTTTTTGAATTATTTAAGGCAGGAGAAATTCGTAAAGTTACGTTGTGGATTGATCCGGAAAGAAGACATAAGTTGGGAAGAAGAGCAACCTTGTGCGAAGCATATTTTGGCATCACACCAAAAGCTTTTTCAGATAATATCAAAGTTATGGTAGCAGGATTTATACCTGATGGTGAAGCTATGAAGAATAAAGATATCAAAATTGGAGATTGGTTACGAAGTGTCAATTCGAATAATGTTACATTTCAAAATTTAGATCAGATATTATCTGAAATTACCTCGCCATCAAACGTAAGTTTTATAAGTTTGACAGAAGAATTTAATAAATTTGTTAAGAGTCCAATCTATCATACAATTAAACACATAATATTAAATTGTAAATTTATAATTCTCTTTATCTCTAAAATTTCCTTAAAAATATGAAAATTTTTATTTGCAGGTAATATTAGAATTGCAAACAGTAGCTGGAATTGATGTTACCACAAAACTATCAAGAATAAATGAGCCAAAAGTATAATGAATTATTATATAAATGCAGCAATTAGACAAAGATATTTACCATAAAAATTTTATGGATTATATATTTTTAGCAATCAGTATTAGCCCAATACTTAGTAAATAGAGGAAATAGTATTTCCTTGATGGAATCATTGTTGGATTATCCATTGGGTGTAATATATTTAAAGACTACAGATCTTTCGGAAGTAGGACAAGAATTGCAGGGTGTATTGTACACATTTCCGCGATCCAAAATTAAAAATTCTTCCTTATGTACCGCAAGAGGAGCTTTTATAACTCTTAATCATTTATTACCCAGTATAGTGAGCCTACAACCCATCAGGTATACATACATATTTATATATTACAGTATAAATATTTAATTAGAAAAGTTAAAAATGGCAAATGTGTCATGTATTTTTAATTTTTCAGTACCACTATCACCATAGATAAGAAGGAAACACATGTTGTATATACATCTTGTGATGATGAATTGCTTTTAATAGCTTTACCTGATGAATGGTAAGTTTTGCTTAAGAACACAATATAGTTGTGTGAATATGAGTAGCATATCATATATAAGCATTTATAACGTAAATTTTATTGCTTTTCAGCTGTACCTCTCAAGAAGCTATCAAAATTACGGAGGACATTGTCAGAACATTAGAATTTACTTATCAGTCATTGACAAAGTGTTTTACTTCAAAAAATCAATCCTCCTTGGATCATTTTTTCACTTTATTTATACACAGATTAATGAATATCAAAGATACCGATGCAAGAAAAAATCTGTCAAAATCGGAAGATAGTACAGAAAATATAGAAAATTTTAAATTCAGAAGCGCTTTCTCTGTTGCAAGTTTTATACAGCTACCGAGAGACGCGCAGATTCAAATAGACGCAGCGTTAAGTGAAATGGAAGCTATGGATTACAGAGACTGGGTATATTATTTCTTTAAACTGAGTAATTTAAATGATAAAATACGTTGTGTTAAAATTATTTGTATTGTAAATGAAGATTTAATTGAACGCATATATTTTGATAGAACGAGGATCCCATGGACTGTCAGAGATTATATACTATATTAGGGAGTTGCATTTATCACAAATGCCACCTTTTGGGATCTCATTTGCCTCACGAAGACTTGATTGACGTGCATTCGTTTCTGAGGCACAACGGCCTGTTAAATCTGATGAATCAGGAACAAGTGAAATGTCTTGTTCTATGGAAGCAGATTTATCCTTCATCTTGCAATCGCGGGAACGTTGAATGTAGCAATAGCGATCAAATTTTAATACCTAATGGAAAATGGTTTTTATTGGTCGTTGGATATGGACACGATTTATTAGCGGTGCTGTTGGAATCCGGAGGATGTACTGCAAAGTAAATATATTTAGATATGTATTATAATTTATACGTTAATGCATACAGTTATTGAGAAAACAAAAATTGTGTTGAAAAGAGGAAAGTCTGCAGTTTTTTAATGGATATAAATAAAATGATTATATACCAGTTTATTTTATTGATAAAAAGTAATGAAAAAAATGTTAATAATCACATAAAATCACACAAACAGATATACAAACATTTTATTTGTATCCATTAAAAACTGTAGACTTTCCTTTTCTTGACACAATTTTTGTTTTCTCAATAACTGCACGCATTAAAAAAATGACAGCTAATTAGTTTTAGCAATTTCTTATGGGACACCCTGTATGTTATTATTTTTCTAATTTAAGTTATTATACCCATTTAGATATAATGACGCGATAGGTCCGGATGTATTTTACGTAGAAGAAGCTCAAGAGACACTAAAGCACATACAAAAAATTGGAGTTACAATTTTAGCTTCAAAGTGGATTACATCTAATACGAGACCGGAAGTAATACCGTACGAGGAACATACAACGACAAAAGCATCGTCCAGTATAACGGAGAATCTCCTTGGTTTGATAAAGTCGTCCGACGCACAAATTGCATCGCCTAAGCAAAATGTTAATCCTACTACTAATAAAAAGTCGCAAGAACTGCCTTCTATCTTGAAAAAACGTAGTCCTGAAGAAAGTCCTATGATCTCAGGTTCCGGTAAGTTACAACACGTAGAAGTACATAATTTCAATATTTTCTATGTCATATATTTTACTCCTTCTCACCTTTATCAATTTTTACTTTAATATATTCAAAAGTGTACACGTTATAATACAGAGAATTAAATTATAATTTAATTTGTAAAAAAATTAAACATTTTAAATAATTATTTAATTAGTTTTTATTACTTAATTCTTTTTTGAAATTATTTAATTATTTTTAATTATTTTAATTATTTTACTTATTAAAAGTACCTTTGTCTTTATGTATTTAGTGTACTCTTTACACACTTCTGAAGATTCGCTCAGTCAAGGGACAGGTGGAGTGAGCGAAATGAGCGACGAGGCAATGCCTATACTTGGAAGACGAGCAACTAGAGAGAAGATCAATTCGGCATCGAGGTACTCTGATGATAGTGATTCAGATATCGACATATACAAGGTAACTTTTTAAAACAGTAATAACGATTAATAATTTTCAAGTAATTTATACAAAAAGTATAAGGAATAAATTTGAATAATAAATACAAATCTATGGATTTTCTTACAGAACGATAGTCATGTACTCACAATGGATATATCCAACATACGGGAGAATTTATTAAATCAAGCAGAATACTTGATACCGAAAAAATTAACTGCTGGTGATAAAAATTATTTATATCACTATGTTCACTTAGATACAGTGGAAGGGATTCTATTGTCGTCGATACCAATTCAAAGTGCATCAAAGGACAACAGGATTCTTGTCAATTTCAACAAATGTGTACAAGTTATTCACAGACTGCTACATAATACAGTGAGATTTAAGAAGATGTTGAGTCAGGATATAGAGAAAACCGCCATCAATCGAAGTTTAATCGCTGTTAAAGAACATGGGGTGTTATTCGAGTGGGAAAACGTAATATTTTGGGTAATTGGACGCCTCTACATGAGTCCTCATCCAAAGGAGTTGTATGTGTGCCATCAAGACTCTGCGCCACAAAATTTAATCGAAATAGCCTTCCAGTTACATTCGTAGTATTTATATTGGATATCTAAATAAAATACACATGTCTCTTCGACCAACGAGTTATTTTATTGAAAAAAAAAAAAAAATTCTTATGTATACATTAGTATCTAATAATCTTTTCGCGCGATTTGATAGTAGATAAATTCTACAGAAAAATTAGTTTTTATTATTTTAAATTAATATATTACTCTTCCTTACAAAATGTTATATACACATCAACATTTTTTATATATTATTTTGCTCGAAATTATAACATCTTTATTGTTTTATATAATACATTATGTTATATTATATATTCATCTTGAGTTGTTTGATTCATTCTCCATAAATATGTGTAGTAGCTGGAGGAAACTTTATACTAATACACGCCCCAGCCATTTTGCTACCGTAATGTCCTGCCCAAAATGAATTGTCCATTCCACCATGTAAAAAACTAATCTCTCTCAAACCATGTCCATAGTTTTTAAATACATGCGATATCTATTTGAAGAGCATATAAAAACAACACAAATTGAAGATAACATTTTGAAAACTCATTGAAACTTCAAATTATTCTATGAGTACTCACATGTAGCCATTTGTTCTGTTTGTCCCCCTCTAAAGTATCACGAAATTGAAACTTATCTAAGACTTTCTTTGTTTTCTGATCGTTTTCAAGTCCTAACAGTTCAATCTCGCATTCATACATCGCTGGACAGTCCCATCGACAGCTGTACCATTCGCTCACCTACAATAACATTATAACTTTTACATACTTTTATTCTCTTAAAACTTCATAGAACATTTTGAATTAAATAACTAATCGCAATACCTCTATGGGGGGCTGCAAAACGTCCAGAACATATGGATGGAATCCTTTTGCCAGTAGATTTACGGTCTGCCTCTTGGTACAATTGTGATAAGACGTTGCGAAACAGACCTGCTTCCCTCCAAATATTGGCTCGGTTAAGGGTAATTCAAGTACACCTGCAGGTGGAACCTCGACTCTCCACGAATCGCCACCGTTGCTGAGGATCTCCCAATGCTTCATCTTTTGTCCTCCGGAATGATTCCTCAAGAGATTCCTCTCGAATGGTCTCCTCTTGCACGTGAGGTAGAACACTTGCCAGGGTATCTCCTCGGCCTGGCGCGGGAACGGCTTGCCCAGTACCAGCTCCGTCTTCTTGCGCCAGACGTAGCTCTGTATCACCGTCCTCCAGCGTTTGCACACCAACTGACAGTTCAACAGGGTCCTGAGGTGAGCCCGGCAGAAGATCTCGCCCAGCAATTCGGGCGGCACGTATCTGTCGCAGATCACCAGCCCGTTGTCACCTTCTTCGTCGAAGGCCACACGTGGAGCATCCACGATCGTGTCGTGCGACTGTCCCATGGCTATCTGTCAAAATTATACTCGGTTACGACATATGTTGACATAAGACGGAAAACGTCAATAGATATCGCCGACGTTGTTTTGACATTAGATCAGCTGTAAGATGACGTTTACGGAAGGAAGTGTGTCATTCTCCCCGCATCTTGCCTTTGATGCGGTGCTTTGTAAAAATGTTACAATGTAATTTCTCACACGTCACGAGACGCAACGTTCCACAGATTATCTTAAATTCCCGACCCAGAAATTCGAACATGTTGTCACGTGGGATTTTCACGGTCATTTTTTTAGGCAGTTTTCATAATATGGCGACACAACCTCTAATCACTATATAATGATTTACAGTTTACATATATTCGATGTAAATCAAAAATATGTATCTGTAAAATATAGCGTGCAGAATATCTGCTACATCGAATATTCTATTTATTATTTTGAATAAAGAAATTTGAATCGAAATATTAAAAATAAAAGGAAAAGCGACGAACTTACGATTTATCATCCGCATTCAGAATCGACAGAATCGTTCTTTATTAGGTATAGTGACTAATGTGTATATATTAACGATATATACGCCCAGTTTTTTCATGAGTCATAATTAACAAAATATTTATATTCGTGAATTTATGTTTAAAAATTCAATTTCAAATTTTTGCATTAATAATATATAAAAATCGAAATAAAATTTTCGAACATGGATTTTATTAATATTTTAAATTATTTTTAATGAAAAAAAATATACATTTGTGTAAATCTATTTCATATATGCAGTATTTAGTATTATTTATATAAATATTCCCAATTTTTGTGAACAAAAATCTTAAAATTCTCCTAATTTCTTTTCAAATTATCCTTGAATGTATATACAACTAAAAGATAGGGACAGCAAACTAAAATTATATATAAACAATTATATTATTTTTTTTATTCCTTGTAGAATAATATATTTAGTGTCATAATACAAAACACATTTCATAGTATTCACTGGAAATAGGTGCGCGGTTTACGCACACTGAATAGCGGCATACGATTTCTGTTATGGATTCTCTTCGGCAATGGAAATTTGATCTTAGAATCATGAAATTGTTTCACTTGGGGTCTGCGACAATTTATAGCTTTTACCACTTCCACCTTAATTATCTGTATGGAATGGGCTCGCGCGCGATGACGAGCACCCATGTCCCTGTAACACTGCGTTACAGCTCCACTGACAGAGAGATCCCTATATTCCCTGTACATGTTATGTGTACCGGAGCGGGAGTCGTATCGCAGCCAAATTCCAAAGTTCTTTATCTTTACAGGTGTCTTCTCTGGGATCTGAAATAATCAAGATTCTTAGTTTAGATTATAGGAATAAATCAATCATGTGCATTGTTGCATTATATTCTTTCTTAGCCCATATCGATATTACATAAGCAGATGCATAAGAAATTGGGTTTATTTTCTTATGTATACAATTATTTTATATATATATATATATATACTTTATCAATCAAATTTCTTATGTATATGTTTATGCACTATAAAAGTTTATGTGAATGTACTTTAAATAATAAGATAAACGCAATATGTTTATGATGTATTATACTGTATATTATTGAACATACTTGCTTGAGAGACACTATTTCTCCAGTGGATTTTTTGAATTTTTTCAATTGACGCAAAAAATACCAGAATCTGGACTTGGCCACTATAGCATCCGGAGCAAATATTCTCATTTTATAAAGAGGAGTGGTCTTCTCCTTTTCAGTAGGGAGCTTTCGCCCTATCACCTCGTACTCCTTCAACTAAAAGAGAAATTAAAAACCAAATTATTTTCTAATTTCCAAATTAATAATATTCATTTATTTATTTATTTATCAACGATATATGTATAAGCATATGCATTAAATACAAGCATAGATGCATATTTATAGGTTATGTCACATCGAACATCTAGATTTAGACCTGTAATTTACATATTTATGTAAATTCAAGAGAATATTCAGCATTTTAGACATGAGAAGATGATTTATGATGTCAATTTAATTCATTTCTCACGTAAATATTGGCAAAATTACTCACTTCACCCTTGGCTTTCATCTCGTATGTCCTGTATTTTTAGGTTAGGAACCAGAAGAGACCGGAAAAAGAAGTTTCACAACGAGCCGCGCACGCGCGAAATATTCCGAATCGTAATTTTCTCCACCAATCAGCACGAAAAGTGTGAAGATTGGTTCGTGCAACAAGATGGCGGTCGGATTCTCTTCCGGTCTGTTCTTTTGATTTTGGTCTCCGATACACGTGTTACGATGAAAGCCAAGGGGGATGTGAGTGATTTTGACAATCTTACAGAAGGAACAAACAAAAATTAATGCCGTAAATTATTTTTCTTGTTCGAAGTATTCGAATATTTATCTAGAATTTACGTAAAATTAAAAAATGCAGATTTAAATCAAGATTTTCGTTGCAACATAACCTACAAATATAGAAATACCAGATATATAATATAAATGTAGACTGAATTGGAAAATAATTTTGCTTCTTATTTCTCTTTCAGCTGAAGGAATATGAGGTGATAGGGCGAAAGCTCCCTACTGAAAAGGAGAAGACCACTCCTCTTTATAAAATGAGAATATTTGCTCCTGATGCTATAGTGGCCAAATCTAGATTTTGGTACTTTTTGCGTCAATTGAAAAAGTTCAAGAAATCTACTGGAGAAATAGTGTCTCTCAAGCAAGTATGTTCAATAATATACAGTATAATACATCATAAACATATTGCGTTCATCTTATTATTTAAAGTACATTCACATAAACTTCCATAGTGCATAAACATATACATAAGAAATTTGATTGATAAAGTATATATATATATATATATAAAATAATTGTATACATAAGAAAATAAACGAAATTTCTTATGCATCTGCTTATGTAATATCGATAAGGGCTAAAAAAGAATATAATGCAACAATGCACATGATTGATTTATTCCTATAATCTAAGCTAAGAATCTTGATTATTTTAGATCCCAGAGAAGACACCTGTAAAGATAAAGAACTTTGGAATTTGGCTGAGATACGACTCTCGCTCCGGTACACATAACATGTACAGGGAATATAGAGATCTCTCTGTCAGTGGAGCTGTAACGCAGTGTTACAGGGACATGGGTGCTCGTCATCGCGCGCGAGCCCATTCCATACAGATAATCAAGGTGGAAGTGGTAAAAGCTATAAATTGTCGCAGACCCCAAGTAAAGCAATTCCACGATTCTAAGATCAAATTTCCATTGCCGAAGAGAATCCATAACAGAAATCGTATGCCGCTATTCAGTGTGCGAAAACCGCGCACTTATTTCCTGTAAACATGTTACAATAGTGTTTTATATTGTAACTCTAAGCGTGTATTATTCTGCAAAAAATAAAAATTTGATATAATTTATTGTCATGTGTTCAATTATATATGCATTATACGTATATTTTTAGTTCTTATATTATCAGTTATACAATTGGAAAATAAGAAGCGGATAAATTTTATTGCATTATATTTTTATTTGATTCTCCAGACACACAGAAGCTGCAAATAATACATTACATTGCATACTTAATATAATCAATGCATTGTCTGAAAACAACATCTCTTTTGTTTGTCAAAATTGAAAAAAATCAAAATTACATTTATTTCTTATCTTGTCTTCGAAATAAAATTGCACAATGTGATAGACCGTGATTGAGTTTTGACAAGGTGAAACTATATTCTTTCTATGTCTAAAAATAAATGTGTAATAGTTGGAAAGACATGTAAAAACTAAATTAGGTCATATTTTCCATGCACAATCACGATTTAAGTAACAATAAATATTGTTACAAGTTTTATTTCCGTATACAAACAACTATATAAGAAATGTATAGATGTATGTATTATAAAGACATCTTACGACCCTCTATAGATATATCTACTGCTCTTCTTGCGGATTTCATACGTTTACTATCCATATAGTTTTTCATGTGTCTCTCAAATCGACTCATTTGCTTCTTAGTACTCTGTGCAAAGTAATAAGACATGATATATAATTGTGAAGAATCAAAAATAATTGAGAATTTGTAGTAACACTTAAAAAAATATTTCACAAAATGAGCTTAATTACAGAATTTTTATATATTTGTTTAAATAAATATTAAAATTATAAGCATTATTGTATATGCACATTATATTGAATATTGCATATAACTTTGGAATCTGTGAAATAGATAAGTGGAACACATACCCTACTAATATCAACATCTGATTTCCAATCGGGTCGTATAACGTAATCTTTGTTAGATGGTCTAGGGACTCTGGCTCTTCCTACCCATCCAGGATCTCCCGGTCTTAATGGCCTGCAAATGTAAGATAGGAAGAGTTAAATGAACAATTATTAATTATTGACATGATTTTTATATCAATGATGACATACTTGGCATCTCCTTTTAAAGCCTTATTAATATCTTGCGATTTCTGGAAGGATCCTCCGTCCTCGGTTTTTCTTCTTTTCTGAGGTGTTTGCTCCAGATCCCTCTGCATTCTCTCCTCCTTCGACAGCGCTTTAAAGTCGGCGGATAAATTAAAGATAGGCCGCGCCCACTCGTTGATCAGTTTTCCAGCACGCTCTTTGTTCTCTTTTGTTTCTTTCGGATGCTTATAAAGATACATCACAGCCTTTCCAATACCGGATTGCTTCAGCGAAGACTGATCAATTTTTGGAAACTATAAACACATAATATGCTTATTAACTAAGTAAATAAGTAATGGAATATTATAAAATGTTTTTATTTAATACGTGCAAATTTATGTTATATAATCTTGCCTCCCATAATAACTTCAGAAGATTGTCTCGGATTTTCAGAGACGGTAACGAACGGTCAGGCATTGGTGCTAACCAATCGGTGAGAACTGACAGCACGTTGTGCTCCAAAAAGGCCAATTGTAAATCATGCTTCTTCAATTGTGATAATACTTTTGATAACATGGCAATCTTATTCGTGGCAGGTTTATTTAGTTGATTCAACTTTCTATCCTCCTCAGCTGCACCCTTCATGTCTGATAATAATTGTGCTATAATATCATCGTTATCGTTAATGATAGTAATATCTTTACGTTTACGTCTACGTGATTGCTCTTCTTTTTTTTCGCCAACATGCGATCAAAATCGGATAATGAATCATCCCTGAAAACATTATATCTGATTAATAATTATTTTTGACTGTATTTTTATGTTTTTAATGATAACAATTTAGAAAATAAATCGTCTCTTGCAAAAGATATATATTTTAATATACATGAAATTTAATATATATTAAACAGGAGACAATTTAGTTATTAAATTATTATATAGAAACTAGAAAAATTTAGATATATGCTTACATTCCACCACCAATGATTCCATCGTCAGAATCTTCATTATCTTGTTGCTCATTAACAATTTCATCGTCTAATTGTTTATTTCCCTGATCCTCACCCGCTTCCTCCTGTGCGTCATCTTTCTTCTTCTCGTTCTCATCTTCATGTTCGGAATCTGACAACTCGTGTCTTGTACGTTTCTTTGCTCTAGTTTCATCAGTCTCGTCTTCAGAATCCGATAATACTCTATTTCGTTTTTTAACCATTCCCTCTGAATCTCTGCTGGGACTTCTGGACTTTCTAGATCCAGAGCCCGATCTAGATCTCGATCTAGATCGGGATTTAGAACGCGAAGAGTGTCTGGATCTAGCGGCCGATCCAGATCTCGATCTTGAACGCGATCTCGAACGCGATCTTGACCTTGAGCGTGACCTTGATCGCGAACGTGACTTGGATCTAGAACCTGATCGAGATCGCGATCTTGACCGTGACTTTGAACGCGAACCTGAACGCGATCTCGAGCCGGATTTCGATCTTGAACGGGATCGCGATCTTGATCTCGATGCGGATTTTCTGGAACCCGAGCGAGATCGCGAACGCGAGGCCCTCGAAACCGAACGGGATCTCGATTTATTAGATCCTTTACTGGAACGCGAGCTGGATCGAGACCTGGAGCGTGAATTCTTCCTCGAATGTGCCGGAGATACGGAACCTTTACGTGATCCCGAAACCGATCTCGATTTGCATCTCGAGCCAGATTTTTGCGATCTGGATCGTGATCTCGAACGCGAGCCTTTCCTCGAACCTGATAAGGATCTGGATTTCGAACGTGATAAAGCTCGTCCCTCCTGCAACGGCGACCTCGACTGCTTCCTGGACCCGGAAGCAGATCTCGATCTAGATCTCGATCTAGATTTTCGGTCTACGGAATTGGAACGAGATCTTGAACGGGAACTTTTCCTCAAGTCTGGAGAACCTTCCCTAGAACCGTTCACGGAACGTGACTTCGATCTTGATCTTGATCTTGATCTTGATCGTGATCGTGATCGTGATTGTCTAGCAGTCATTGGAAATCGATTTGCCGAGGGTGAACGAGAACCCTTTCTCGATCCAGATGGAGATCTCGATCTTGAGCCGGCTTTAACTTCTTTTGGACTAGCTGATCTGGATCTTGAGCGGGATTTTGTCCGGGAAGACTTGGGAGTGCCCGATCGAGAACGTGAGTGGATTGACGTTTTTGGAGAGCCGGAACGCGATCGAGAAAATGAACGAGATCGCGATTTGGAAACTGCCTGGGGCGAAGGAGACCTGGAGGACGATCGAAAGTTTGTCTTGGGCGAGTCGCGTTTGGATAAAGCGTCATTGGGTTTCATCGAATTTGATCTAGATCTGGAACGTGAATTATTCCTCGATGCTGCCGGAGAACTTCTGGATGAAGAGTGAGAAGAGCTTCGAGACCTTGAGCCTGATTTTGCAGAATGATGCGAATGCGCTGGTGATTGCGAACCATTTCTCGCCTCTCTAGGTTCAGGAGAATGAGATTTAGAACGTGATCTGGATCTTGATCGTGATGTGCTTTTTCTGTTTCTGGCTGGCGAAACAGATCTGTGTGGCGAGGGTGATCTGGATGGTGATCTCGAATAAGATTTCCTGGAGCTTGCATTGGAACGAATAGAAGCTGGTGATCCATTACGTGCTGGAGAGGATTGATTAGATCTAAAATATTTAGTCGTAGTTGAAAAAAAGAAATGCAGATCAAATGAAACAAGCAAGTACGACAAAAATTAATTACCTAGGTGCTGAAGACTTGGGACTAGCAGAATTTGATTTGGATCTGCTTCTCGCTACATTACTGCCTGATTTTTGTGAATCTGGAGTAGCACTTCTAGATTTATCATGTTCCTCTTCTGAATCGCTTCTTTCGTCTTTAAAAAACCAAAAACATTTTACTTATATACCATTTCTGCAAGATGATTATACTGTATAAAAGTATTAAATTTTATATTATTTTTATGCAATTCAAATATTATATAATTGCATATATAAAAAGAGAATATAAATTATGCATAAAGTTATGCATCTAAATTATGTAGAGATATACAGATATCAAGTGTTTTTGTTTACGTATATTTACGTATTTAGATTGAGTAAATATACAAAATTTCTCTAGCAAAATTAAAATCACAATTAAGCGAGAATATAAATAATTATTCTCTCACCTTCAAAACCCATTGCATCTGTGTTTAAATATAGTCAAAAATATAGTTGTTATCACAATGACTAATAAAAATGTTGCATCGATTAATCGTTAAATTAACATGCTCTATATATTTAATATAACAATAACTTAAAATCATTCAACTTGCACAAGTTTCATATTAAACTTTGCATTACAGATTTGATACATAATACTATTTTTCCAGTCAAATAACTCCTCTTTTCTAGATATACGCCTAATTACAAGGTCTCTCACGAATATGAATAATCCAAGCTTTTTTCACTCATAGAAGCGTCCATCACATGTATCGTGGAATGCTCGGAACGCAACGTTATTTTGTCACTAGAAAGTCACTATATACAACGTATTGGTACAGTTTTCATGAAAAAACATTGGACAAACTGGATTAGCCAATCGGAATGTAGACATTCGTCACCGCAACATTTACTGACTTTCTAGTGACAATGACTCGATGTCAGCCAAATATTTTTTTAAATATATTACATAATTACATTATTTTATATATTTTCTAATTATATTATTTTATAATATAAATTATTAAATATTTTCTAATTATTATTATTATAATAAATATAATATTCAATATTATAAAAAATATATAACATTACATATTATAAATAAATATAATAAAATAAATAACAAAATCAAGAAGGATGATTATATGATAAGAAAAAAAAAGTTAAATGTCATAATACGCGCGCATGCGCGCGACTCTCGAGTCGGCGCGCATCTAGAGACTTTTGTAGCTCCGCGGCCGAAGATTGTCGACGCGGGACGAGCCGGGCCGAAGTGAGTGCCGAGAGCGCACTATGGCGGTCGTGACGAAATTTTCGCCGTCTGCGTGAAGATAGCGACAGGCCGGAGAGCGAGCGAAAGAGAGAAAGGGAGAGAGAGAGAGGAGTGCGGTCTCGTCGTTCAGTCGTGACAATACGCCGGGATCGCGAAGTCGTCGTCGATCGCGGATACTCGGCGCGGCCGTCAGAACTCGTCGGCGAGAGAGTTCGAGAACGTGTCACCGCGAAAGAAAGAAAGAGAGAGAGAAAGAGAGGGAACCGTCTCGCGCGCACGATAACAATAATAATATAATCTAATATTCTCTCTCTCTCTCTCTCCCTCTCTCTTTCTCTCTTTCTCTCTTTTTTTTTCTACGTGTATCCGCGCGTTCCGCGACGAAGCGGCCCCGATGCGGGTCGCCCGCGCTCGTCCCAGGGCAAATGATGACTTCGATGCTGCCCAGCTTTAACCCGCCTATCGTCAAGCGGCTGCTGGGCTGGAAGAAGGCCGAGAGCGAGGACAAATGGAGCGAGAAGGCCGTTAAAAGTCTGGTGAAGAAGCTGAAGAAGTCGGCGGGCCTCGAGGAGCTCGAGAGGGCCATCACTTCGCAAAATTGCAACACCAAGTGCATCACTATACCAAGGTATGTGCGTGCAGAAATATGTATATATATATATATATATAAGCGTCTGACGAATATGTCTATATAGAGAGAAAAATCACCGCGAGCGGCGAAAGAGAGAGAAGGATGAAGCGAGAGAAGAAAAGAAAGCGCGCGCGCGCACTCACATCTATATATATATATATATATATATGTGCATGTATATATGTGTGTATATATATATATGTATGTATGTATATATGTATATATGTATATATATATGTATATATGTGTATATATATATATATATATATATATATATATATATATATGTCGTCGCGAGTGCCGAGACGAGACGGCACTTTTCCGTTCTTATTAGAGATCGTCGCGTCATTTCGCGTGTGCGTGCCGAGGAGATATATAAATATATATAATAAATTCATACGCGTCTCCCTATCGAGACGATAAGCGACAAGCTTCGCCCGTCTGTCTGTCACTTGCTCACAAGAGAGAGAGAGAGAGAGAGAGAGGATGCGGTGCGTCGCGCGTATTATTCCTTCCATGTGTCTATGTATGTATGCATGTATGCACGTATCCCGGCATACAATGGGACAGATGCGCGAGAGACGTCACGTTTTAGGCCGGTCGAGGTGCGATAACGCCGATAACGCAGGCACATTAACGTAAACACTGCTGTGTCATTGTGTTGTAAGCACGTGCAAGAGTCAGAGTTCTGTTCATCGCGTGAGTGACAAGATACAGAGGATGTTAATGATTCGGGATTAAGTATTCGCTTCTTTTTTTTTAGTCTACTCCGAGATTTCCCGCTGCGACCGATTCGGTCTCTTAAATTCTTCACTCGAAAACGGAGCAGATTTATTATTTTATTGACATGTTTAATATATATAATATTTAATATATTATATATTCTAATATATATATATTTTTATATATAATATGTATTCCATATTCTATATAAAATATATATGCATATAATATAGAACGCGAAAAATTTTACCAGGTGATTCTTTGTCGAAAACTAAAGAGGGTTTCTAATATAAACATATGTATACTCTTATATCCCTCCCTGAGGACACTTTTCTAAAGAAAAGTTAGTTTCACAAGATTTAAAAAATATTAATAAATGTCCTTTTTATTAGTGAAAAATATCTCTACCAAGTTTCATTTTTTTAATTCGTTTGAAATGTGAGAAAAAAACTTAATTTTTACCTCCCTCTTTAGAAAAGTGTCTTCAAGGAAGGATATGAGAGTATATGTTTATATAAGAAATCCCCCTAATTTTTTTATTTAGATACACCCTGTATATTCTAACATATATTATTACACATTCTAATATATATTTATACACTAAAAAAATTGTTAACTTGACTAAACCATTCAACTAAATTACTATTTTGTTAATTGAACATATATTAGTATTTAATATACGTTTTGTTAGATTTAATCTGTTTTATACATATATTTAATTTAAATATTTTTATATGTTTAATTAACAAAATATTATTTTTTTATATTATTAAATATTATTTAGTTGAATAATTTAGTCAAGAATTACAACTTTTTTCAGTAATATATGTAAACAATATTTTTAACTTAATATTTATTTGCTTACTTTCTCTAATGTTATATTTATCCATAAAGTGCATATAATTTATCTTCGTACATCTTCTATTTGTATAGAAATTTGATATTATTAACAACAACAACAACAACAACAATAATAATAATAATAGTAATTTTCATTGTGCATATATAGATAATAAAATAAACATAGACAATATTTGGCAATAGGTGTATATGTACAAACAATAGTGCATTTGCAGCATTAGACGGACGTTAGCGTACCTGATAAAATACATGCATACATAATATCTCAATAATAGCGATAATAATGTAATGACATAATAGCAATAATAATTTAATGGCAATTTAATACAGTGCGGTGTAATAATGCATATATTTTAATATATTAAAATATTTAATATTTAATATTATTATTATAATTGAGATAAATTATAGGACACGGATCGAATTAAGAAACTGAAATTCCATCGTTACATGTGCAAATATACATGTCTGTCATTGAGGATCTCGATAAGGATTCGTTCTATTGAATTCGATCAGGAATCGTTTCCGAGGACGACGATGACGCAAATGCGATCTCCTTAACTCGCATTCAAAGGAGCTCCAAACGCAGCTGCGTAGGCGGATGAGCGTTTATCAATCGCTCGCGAAATGTATAATCACTCGTATGCGAGAAGTGCGAAGTGTAACGCGAAGTATGTTTTCTTTTCTCCTCGTTCTCCGAACGTTTTCGCGCCAACTTGGAATAATCATTCGCAGTAATTTTACAATTAATCCGCCTTTCTCTCTCTCTCTCTCTCTCTGTGTGTCGATGATGAATCATTCTTTGAATTTCATGTGCAAATTGACCAAAAAATTGTTAACTTGACTAAACCTCTTTCAAAAGAATTTAAATTAAATTAAATTAATATAAAAAATATCTTTGAAAATTTTAAAAAGATTGATAATTTAATTAATTGCTTTCCGACTAAATTTGACGAAGGACGATATTAACCGGAATAAAATAGAAAGAGCGCGCACACAAATTTAATTTGATTTAATCTTTCAACTAAATATTACCTATTTTGTTAATATTGAACATACATTAATATTTAAGTCAAATATACGTTTTGTCAGGTTTAAATATTTTAATATGTTCAATTAACAAAATAATATTTAGTAGAAGGGTAAAGTTAAATTTTTTTTCAATGTGCGTTCTTTTTTTCTCAGCTAATATTGTTATATATTTTTCCGGTCGAAAAGCAATTAATTATATTATTAATCTTTTGAAAATCCTTTTAGATACTTTTTTCGTATAGGAAATAATTGTTAATCGAATAATGCTCTTCACTTATGTTAAATATTCCCCGATAATTCATATTTGGCCCGATCTGGACCATCTGGCTTTTATATATGACACGGAAATGGGGGAGAGACACTGTTCTGCTATGAAAGTATATATTATTTTGTTCGGAACGAGACGAAGCGTATAAACGCGATCGAGCTCTTCAGCGCGCTTTTCCCAGTTCGTTTCACGTCACGGGATAAATAGCAATTAATTCGCGCAACAGCCGTTTTAATTCCTCGCGTCAGTATCTGTTACAGACGAACGTGTATGTGTATATGTATGTCTTTCACGTAGCCTTTCGGAAAAAAATTATTAACGAAATACACAAAGATTTAAAAAAAATAATAATTTTTCACGAAATTCTATCAAATCAATAATTATCTCATTCGTGGAGAACCTTTTTCGTAATAAATATTATATAAATTTTGTTACTATAAATATTATATACATTAATAATTATATAAATAACATTATAAAATATAATATAAATTTATATCAAGTAAAAGTAGTCTTTAATATCGAAGGAAAAATAAAAAGTCATTTTTTATGTACGTATAATAATCAGTGAAAAGTTTGATAATAATTCTCAGGTCAATATTAATTTCAAATTCTTGGGGAAATAAAAAGAATTAAACTTTTTTTTTATATTGTGGAGATGATTTTTGATTAATTAAAGAGTTATGAAACCCGGCACACATATACATATAATAAAACGGTGGACAGTCGCGGAATGAGAAAGATGGTTATCCAGGTGTAAAATGAACCTGCAGCTTCTAACTGATCGTGGAGCGTAAAAAAAAATGAAATCGTCACGAACTCAATTATCGAGATAAGAATCTTGATTAGTAGTCGCCTTCGTTATTTTTCCACATTTACGTGAAGCAACGCGGAAAAAGACAAGCGTGATTATCACACTGATAGCGATCGAGATACTTGACCATGATCTCTAATCTCTTGAGAGATGCATTTCTTTGCAAATTGCATATTCTCACTGATCAAAATTTATTAACTAAATTTATTGACTAAACCTTTCAACTAAATTACTATTTTATTAATTGAATATGTTTTAATATTTTAGTCAAACATACATTTTGTTGGATTTAATATTTAAATTATATTTAATTTAAATATTTTTATATGTGTTTAATTTAATTGAAGGATTTAGTCAAGTTAACATTTTTATTTCCTCTAAATTTTTTTTCTAATCGAATTATAATAATATTATAATATATTATAATATATTATAATATATATATAGCATATATTTGACTATATTATAATATATACCGTATATTTTTCTCTCTTACATCCATATAAAAGTTATTTTAAGTCGAATTTTCAATCGATTAAAGATATCGTACGCGTTTGGAAATTCAATGTGGCTTATCGTTTATCTCTGCTGAATTGGTATATATATATATATATATATATATATATATATATATATATTTCAAAATGATATATTACAAAATGTGTGTCATAATCATGCGGATACGAAGAGCGCATATAACGCGAAATTAATATTGTATCTCGCACAGTAGTAATTAATTGTTGCAATTATAATTTATATTATTAACTGATTACATGAAATATTCACCGTATACCTTGAGATTTAACGTTATAAATTCGCGTAATAATTGCGAAATACGAATAATTGCGAGCTTATTTTTTATTATAATTGTCGCTTTTATTGACGATTGTAAAATGTAATTTAATTTCCATCAACGAACATGAAATTATATAAATCTTCGTAAAAGATATTAAAATTTTATTTTGCTTGAATAGTCTGACATATGTTTATATATTTCTCATATCGCTTCGTCGCGATCTAATCAGGATTCGAGCTTGAAAAAGTATCTATGAATCGTAAATCATAATGTAATCGTTATTACAAGAGCGCAAATATAACTAGATCTCGTTTCATTTATAATTGCCACAAACCTACGAGATAACTTACGATGCTTTCTTCTTTTTTGATATTTCTATTCCTCGAATCAACACGAGAAATATTTTTAGCTTTATGATTATTTTTTTTCTTATTATACATATATTTTATTATGATTATTATTATTATTATATATTTTATTATTACATTTTTTTATATTTTTTT